GGACACAAGGGTTTGAGGGGCACTTCTAGTTATATTTCTTAGAGATAGAGAAATATAACTAGAACAAGAGAGAGGGAGAGAGAAAGAAAGAGAAATGAAATGAATAATATTTTTATTGTTTATTTGGTTGAATCAAGGTTTACTGCAGTATTACTTTCCTTTAAGGATGGCTGTTATAAGCAGAATAAATCTATGCCTCCTTGCTCAAAAGAAACTCAGAAGGGTAATTGTTATTGATATTATTGAAATTCTGTAATCCACAGTGTTCTAAATATCAGCACATCAGGCATGGACTTGGTAGCCTAGTTGGTAAAGGCAGCACTTCTAGTATAGTGTCTTAGCTTCAAGCTAAGGTTGCTGGTTCAAATCCTGCCCAAGTCAATCATTTTCTGCTAACTGTCTGAAAAATTCATTGTTAATTTTAACAGATATGTCAATCCCACCTCAATTTTCTGGATCAATGATTGGGGTTCTTTCAAGGGAAACCTATGTGGTGTTCAGCTATACCACCAAACAGAGAATAAGGTTGAATTGATTTGATATGATGAAGTTTAAGCCAGAGTTTTAGTAAAAAAAGAATGATGTGATCATTCAGAGAGACAGAGAAGGAACTTGACAGAAAGATGCAAGCTGAACTTGAAAGAATGACTTAATCATTGGTGATACTGACACAATGAGTGGGAAGATTCCAATAGGTAAAGGAATCCTAACAATGACATGGAAATGATACAGTGGTGAATCCAAGTTGAGGTGTGCTGGTTTTCTGGTCTGAGTTGGTTCTGGGTCGGTCTGAACCTTGTCAATCCTCAAAAAGAGGACTCAGTATCCTCTGATAGAACTCAGTATCCTCTGATAGGATTTTCAGAGTTTGATTGCATAATCATTACATGTACATGTGGTTGGGAGAAATGTAATTCCATTTTGGTTGATATTTGACAAGGTATGGTGAATTTTTTTAGAGTCAATGAAGGAGAAGATTAGTGAAAAAGTGAGTAGTGGTGACTAGGGTTGAAATTGCATGAGGAATTCATTGCTGAATTCTGAATGTAATAACATCCTAATCTGGAAAAGATGCAGTAGTGACATGGGCAAAAAGTGAGCAGTCTTTTGGCCAGCTTGGCTGGATATAAGGCTGACAAATAGATGAAATGGCATCATGGCAGTGATCAGCTCATCAACAATTGACAGATATATTTAAATTGAAACAAAAATGTAGATATCATAGGGCATTAGTTCATGGGAATGTCTTTTTAATGCTAAAGTTAGTAACCAAACCTAGTTTCAATTGAGCTCACTGAATTTCTATGAGAGTGTTAAAGCCTACAGGGAAGTTCCCCTTCAGAAGCAAACTATGTGAAACTAGGAGTCAATTGACACCCTTTAGATCTATTTTTTTTGGTCAAAAAATGTTTTTTGAGAAGCCTTTTTGTAATGGCCCTCATGTGGGCTGGTTGTAATCTTGATTGTGTTCTAAATTTAGGACTTAGAGAGGTCTAATAAGCACTCTAAACTGCCACAGGGAGTCCTCCAATGCCAACCCAACAGGAAATGGGGCTCTAAAACAACTTCACATGACAAAAATCATTTTCCAAACAAAAGTTAATTCTTATTGCACCTGACCCTAGGTGACAGACCCATTCAAAATCCATATTACTCAGGTTGCAAGTGGGGCCAACCCAAGACCCGGCATTCAGTTATGGGGCCGGTTCAGGCAGATTTTGAGAGAAAATCATGACCCCAGCCTGACCCAGATACTGGATGACTTCCCATCCATATCTTGGAAATGATTAAAGCCTGCACTCCTGCAAAGAGTAACTTGGGCCTAAAGGCAGATTGTGAACTACCACAAGAACTCCCTTTGGCCTAAGGAGAATCATCTTTTGAATCCATGATATGAAGTATTGTATTATAAAGCAAGGAATCAAACTATTTCACTTCAATTTTGAAAAGCTGGAGATTTTTGTATTATGAAACTGCACACATCTGCAAATTTAGGCACCTTTTGCATTGCTTTCTGTGCTTGATGAAAAAGAGGAACATCTTCTGGTCCTCCATTGAAAATCAATTCTGGGTACACCAGAACAATTCCGTGGACTTTGCGTCAAGTCATCGACTCCTAATCTATCGACTCTGCCATCAGGATGAAAGTGGGTCGGGTCGACCCGCAAGTGACCTGCGACCCGTCGGGTCTCGGGGCGGGTTCGGGTCGACTTGATGTGAAAAAAAAAACTAAGTGACCCGACCCGCGTGTGACCCGCTTGAATACCGGGTCGGGTTCGGGCAGCGTCTCTTGATTTCGGGTCGGCCCGAAAACCCGACTACTGACCCACTTGAGGGCAGTGTCCGTGGGTTGGCTTCAGCATTCAGAATCCGAACGGTCCACTGCCCCACGCAGCCTTCAGGAATTAGGATCCCTCGGCCCTCCGTTCAATCGGTCATCAACCGGACCTACTCCTAGACGACGAGCGCTACAGGTTTTGCGATCTTGGACTCGGAACGACCGACCGACGACACTTCGAATCGATTGAATTTGGAATCCGTTTCTTGAGCTCGGAACTCGACGGACGGACGCTTTGCGCAGAACAACCGGTCACCGATCAAAGCTCAAACCGGCAAGCGGCTGTCCATCGCCGATTGCTCAATTTCCAAAGACCACCCCTGCTAGTACTGCAAGAATGGCTCGCGGTCGCGTCAAGCCCCCCCCCAACCCACTCCAAGAAGCGAAAAAGTTGTCTTTTTCTGTTTCTATTGCTTATAAATGTAAATATGCTCTAAAAATTCATTTCAAGCCTGACCCGGAATGTGACCCGCGACCCGACCCGGCCCGACCCTGACCCGCCTGCTACCCCAGGTGGGTCGGGTTCGGGCAGCAATATTGACTGTATGACCCGACCCGACCCGACCCGCCACTTTTGCCGGGTCGGGTCTGGGCACCGTTTTTCGACCCGAACCCGACCCGGTTTCATCCTGACTCTGCCAAGCTGTAGCAATCTCAAACCAGTTTCACCGACCATCTCATACCAGTTTCACCGACCGCGTTGATTCAAATCCAGCATGCTGAGGGATTCGGTGCATGTGTGTATGATATTCATGTATTCATTACAAGCTATATCCCGGTTTCGTATTCTGTCACACCTCAATTCCATCTGTGAATCGTGTTTCATGTGTACAATCCTTTTTCTTTTCTTCTAGCGTTGACGTTAATGTTTGAAAAAGATGTTCCTTGAATAATCTCACATCGTCATCAGGATGAATGATTTACGTTAAAAGCATTGGCGAGTCACTATGTAGTATGTAGTCGTATGCGATCGCCACACACATACAAAGCTTCCGAAGGCAAATCTGCAAATGGAGGCCGCGGCATTGGAAGGAAAATCCGAACAGTTCTTTAAGCCAGTCATTGTGTACGCTATGCCGGCTATCTTTCCCCAGGCGGCATGCGCATGCAAACCACCTTGGAGATGTATGTAAATAAGTTGGTTCATACAAGAGAGAAGAATTTTTCCTCGGTGTTAAAGTCACCGACAACCAAGCTGGTGAATGTGATGACCATTGATATTTGGTGAAATTAAGGTACCAGTCGAGCACGCTCTGAATCCACCGTGCTAAATCTTAAATGAGCTGGTTAAAGCATCCTGATAGATTCGGAGATATAACCGATAAAGGGATACTATGACGGCGGCCGGGATCACTGGACTATTTGGGAGTAATAGGATGCATGCCCAAGAAATATTCATGCTGTCTTTTAGACCTCCCATGACCGGATTAGCTATATCCAAGCAATGCGGCATTACGGCAGCTAATCTTCTCTATCGGCAACCTGGCTTACAAGCTGTGTATCTCAGGGTGGAAAACTTCGAGAGTCCAAGGTGCTGTACTCAAAAGCAATTGCCATCAGTTTTACGGCGGCAGCAATATAACACTTGGCCTGGGCATCACCACATATTCTTGCGGGCCCATGCAATCTAGACCACAGTGCCAGGGATCACGATAAGTCTCTTCGTGACCCAACTCATTTGTTGACGTCACGCAGTGCCGCCAGGTTGAGTGAGAAGTGGATATGCCAGTTCGCAGTGCTGAGTTGAAAACATACTGCCCATCTGAGTTTTTCTGTAGTCATCCAGCAAATCGCGCTGCTTCTCTTATGCGGTACCTTCTAGAACCTGAGCAGTCTTTGGAGAAGGCCAGTGTATAATTATACAGTCATTGCCCACGAGACCATGGAACCGATCAGGTTTCAAAACTCAAGCAAGTCGATGCAATACACCAGTACATAACGCTAGAAGCGTATCTTGTTTTCGTGCAAGGCGGTGACTGTCTGACTGTGCACTATAGACCCTGGTCTCACTGTTGACTGTAGACTTCGGGATGCATAGCCCGATTTATTGATAGGAAACGCGCCCAGGCTCCAATATCCCCGAAGCTGGCCGATTGCAAAATTGAATTTAAATTTTCATGATGATATGATATGTATGGATCTAACGGGGATGTCATAAAGGAAAAACAGCAGCTTAATACCGCAGATTTATTGTATTTATTTATGTACTTTCGGTTGAATGTTATAAATGTTTATGCACAAACGAGCTTTTACGATATCATACAGTTTTCACTCGTCACTTCTCCGACCTCAAGGTGGGGGGTGTGATGGGAGTCAAGTCTCACTAAAACCTCAGATTCATTGACCAGCACGTATTTAAATAAACAATATGTCTCATTCTGCATTGGCTCCATATGTCCTGCCGCGTTCGTCACTCGCGACTTTCATTTGGACACTTATAGCGATCCACTTCAGCCCTTTCACCTCATTACAATTTACACCGAACCCTCACTAGCCACGATTGCACAATATAAAGACTTTCTTGAGCGGAAAGCCTGGGCCAGAATACTACTTTGAACTCAGTGAGACCCCGTGATTATCAGTCGACCATCATCCTTTATTTTTGATCTGACGGACATATCCTCAGACAGCTTCAGGAACAAGTTTCTTTACACAGTCGAACATGTTTTCATCATCCATCGATGATCACTTGTTCCAGGAGGTGCCCCGAAACTCCTCTCAGCTGCAGTGCACTCCTCAAACTCGACCAAGTCTCAGCATTCCAAATTCAAGAGCGCCCCCTCCAGGAATCCTTGATATGTCATTCAACAGGCGCTCTCTAGATTGGTCCGAACTGCAACAATTTTCGCCTCATTGGACTCTCAGCGACCAACAGAGCAATCTTCCACCCACGGCCAGCCGCTCGCCTGGAGATATCCATAGCCAACTTTCGGATTGGAATTTTCCTTCTCAGCCGCCCGTCCCTCCGCGTCTGGTGCTATGGGGTCCGTTCAACAAAATTGAGCAAAGTCATTTTCACCAATCAGCCTTCTCTTCCGAAGCCTATCCGCATCATCCTCCATCGGCTTCACACCCCCTAACCCCACCACCTCACGGCAGCAAAACTCCAAAGCGCGGAAGACAAGGCTGCTTCCCCTCAGCATGCCCTCCATTAGTTACCCCGCCGATGCCCTCCAAACGACCTCGGACGGCAGAAAAGGAAGCCTATGAATTTCCACCACCACCGAGATATACAACCTATCATCTATCGGCATATCCTACTCCCATGGCCTCTCCCAGCAGCCAAAACTCGACGTTTTACGACAATCACTCGATGGCAGAGGAATCTCTTAGTATATCGCCCTTCTCGTCAAGATTTGAAAGTTTCCCACAAGCCTCACCGGCAGACCTCGAAAGATCCTACCATCAAGCCCCTACATCAGCCCACTCCGATTTTCCGTATGCTCAGCTATCGCCCTCCTCGTCCTCAACATACAACTATGGATACTATCCTGATTCACCCATCTCCCCCACAACACCACTTTCATCGCCGCCGCTCTGGGAAAATTCTTCCCCCTTTTCCACCTCTACAACTAGATGTCATCAGCTAAATTTCCAGAACCCTCAATATCCCAATGTATGGTCCCTAGAATGGCATCAAAGGTTCAATCAGTTCAGATACCAAAATTGATAGTGAACTCTTTTTTGTACCCACCACTCCATCTTTTTATCTATCATCATAAATTTATATCTGGACCTCACACTTCCAACAGTTCTTAATGAAGTTCTTTTTTTCTTTCTCCTTTCATTTGGACGCTAGTGTTTTGTTAGTTTCTATGCATTTATGTGATTGTACTATTATAATTTGAAATTCGTTCCCCTGCCATACATTGCCCGACTTGGCTCTTTTAAAACTGCCAACAGAAATTTTAAAAGATCTGGGCATACCAGAAGTCGGAATACATATGTTAGCTAATGCACGTACTGTCAGAATTATTGTGCCAGATAACCACATCCGGCAAGATTACATCAGATCCAACCATTAAGTTTATTCAAAACAAAGATGACACAAGACATAAAAGAACTGAAATTTTATTTACCTCAGTCAATATATTGTGAGCCCAGACTGATGATGCATCTACAACAACTGATATATCAGCCAGAAATGATAGTACATCACATTTCAAATGCTGGGACCCACATCTATGATTCTGGCTATGGTGAATGTAATATCAATTCTGGCTGCTGTTGTGCCAACTGTGAAGATATGCCATTGTTACCTTCAGAGTTAGGGTACAGGTTGTGTCAACTATTAAGGAGCAGAATACAAATCTAGTATCACAATCATGAGCATTGTTGTAATCAATTAATTTCAAGAATTTCGCAATGTCCTTTTCATCTCATTCTCATTTAGACCAAATTACTTGAATTTCTCAGTTTTGTGTGTTTGTGTCTTGTGGAATGCAGATCTGTGATTTGACATCACAAATCCAGTGTAGAATTCCCATTGAAGGGTTGCCTGCCCTCCTCCATTCAAAAACCCAACATCTGAAAAAAAAAACATATCCATTATAGTCCATATGTGCTGTACAATAAGTAGATTTTAACCAGCATTGGCTCTAGGATTCCATCACATCAATATACTTCAATCATAAGGAAACTGGACCAAGATGTGTATTGATAAGTAATCCAGATTTTAACAACTCTGCATTTGGTGCTTAACTCCCAGTCCCAACTATTCAGCATGAAGATGTAACCAGTCAACACCAAACTTGGTGAGTGGGGAGGAAGCTTTGTGGGGGTGTTCAAGCAAGCTTGAACTGACATTGTTAACTTGCACAAGTACACCATATCTATCATCTAATCTCAATGTCTCTTTTGCAAGATTCTTTCTGGCAGAATGGTCTAGACCCATTCACTGCACCACATATGTTTCAAGCTGTTTGGAGCCTGACACATTTCACGTGCCGGTGCGACTTCTCAAAACCAGCCAACACCTGATGGATGAGTTTGACCAGGAGCATTTCAAGCGATTTTAGGAGAAAGAATTGATGCTTAAAATGTTTTTCTACCATCCATAATTTGGCAATGACAACAAGATTCCGCTCGAATTAAATTCCAGCAGATAAAGCAGAACCAGATATATGAAAAAAAAGAAAAAAAAATCATTAGAGCTGAAGGAGATAGAAAATCCTAGCTCGGATTTCACTGATCAAGTTGTCGTGAGTATCACGCGGATTTTCGGTACAAGATAATGACTGCAAGAGATGCTTGCACTTCACGAGAACCAGACGAGATTCACTCTGATCGAGAATGGTTTGATGAGCATTGGCGGGGGCCCAAAACGAAGAACAAACCAATAGAGCTCTGAGAATGACCAAAGAGTGGCCTACCAATCCCGCTAAATTAAGCAAAAAAAAAAAATCCGAGGTGATCAGTAAGAAATTTTATTTTCGTACTCGTGGAATCAGGAGTGATTTGTTAGAAATCACGATGTTTCATAGACAGCCTTGACATACCATTGGAGCTAAATTTCGTTTGACTAAAGTGAGTCAACAGCTGGATGATGTTCTCCACCGTCTCTCGTGAAATCGCTTTATGCAACAACGGGATTCGACTCGCGACTTCTTGCAGGATATTCATCACTTCTTTCCATTCAGTCTTGGAAGACGGCTTGAACTGTTCTAGAACTTTCAGTAATCCGGGTTTGCTGATCAATTTGATGCAGGCTTGGTTGTGAGAGACGGCCTTCCTCAACAGCTTTGTACCAGGAAGAAAAATGTTAATAATAACAATGATGATAAACGGGAAAAACGTGATATTAATTGATGTGTCCAATCAATTTAAATATTTTCAAAGAAAATTGTGGAGCGCGTACCTTTAGTAACAAGTGTCTAAGCTTTGGTGCCATGCGATGTGTAGATGAATGGACCAGGGAGATCAAGATTTCAAAAGTTTGTCGATGGTTCATAATTTTCCAATCCTAAGCGATCAATAAGACAGAAAACAAAAAAGTGTCAATCAAAGCAGAACATAAACAGCGGGGCCAAACAGCAACCTCAGGAAGACGTCTGCACTTACGATTGTTGTGCAAAGTCCATCGTGCAACATTTGCATGAGCCAGAGATGCCCCTCCGCAGGCATATCTGCTGACGAATACAACAGAGAGTATAGCATCGGCACATCCTTCCCATCGATCACGGCCCTTTGGAGTAAGAATCTTGACAGAGGCTGATGGAGGGCGGACTCAGGCGCGGTACAAAATACATTCAAACAGCGCGAAAGAAATAAAGTGATCAAAGGAGGAACGTTTATGATGCTTTCAGTCTCCTCGCTTGCTACGTGAAGGTTTCGGAAATGTTCCATGGGGAGGAGGATTTCAGACGCATCGGTATGGTCCAGCGTCTATTTCATAATAAGAGAGGAAATCAGTTCAGCTATCCACAACAATTTCCCCTGCAAAAACGATGAAAATAATATCACCTTCAATCGTTCAAATGATTTGGCTAAACATCGATCGGCGAGGAACCGCCAAGCCGTCTTGTCGGATGATAAGGCGCACATAGCCAAGCCCAACAGGCCGCTGCGGGCGATTGAATGCCACGTCGAGATTACCAGAGGTTCTTCTTGCTGGATAAGGTGGAGGAGTAAAGCGAGAAGGAAGCTGGGGTCATAGTACTCGGGCAAGCTAGGTGAACAATCACGCTCTTGCCTACTCAAGGTCCATACCGATGTTGCTTCGACTTTCTCTGAATCCAGTAACGCTACCACATCCAGAGGCTTGTTAGTCGCGATCCTGTTCCCAATGATGGGTTTCCAGGCCAGGAACACGTCGATGATTTCCGAGGTTTCACTCCGTAAATCTTCAATGCGAAACACTTGGAAGATTAAGCGGTCCTTCAGAGACATGGTGCCGCCGTAGAACGGAATCAGAGTCTTCGACAGGCTAGCCTGGATGGTAACGACGGGGTGAGAGAGTACCAGCTGGTTGATGACTGACATCACGAGTGCGGCCTGCTCCCCTAGATCTTGATGAGATGACTTCATCAATGAACGAAAGTTGCGGCTATCGACGGTTGCACGAACGTGTTTGAGGACATCAGTTTCTCCTAGTTGGGTGTGACGGATGAATGAATGCATCAACTTCATGACACATCCTGAATCTATAAGTCGATCCAAAGCAGCAGTCAAGACCGGATTCACAAGATGTGTTGACAATAGATATTCGGCTGGTTTTCGACTCAAAATTTTGTGGAGTGATTCGACTAGTTCGACTGTATCATCCGTACAGCCTTCGTCCTCGGCGAACCTTCTGACAAGCCAGCACAGGCACCGATCAATGTAAACATTCAGATGATTCGATTCACACGTTGATAATACATCGAGAGCTTCTGAGTAGGCAGGGATAAGACCGTCTTGCGTGATTTGGTCAGCCAGTAATTTCCCCACGAGTGATTCTGCACCAGAATAAATCAACTTCAGAGCTTGAGAAGCCAGTACCCGGGTCTCTCTTCCATTCGGCAAAACCAAGGCGGAAGTCTGAGGATGCACACAGAATAAGCAGGATCCGATGGTAATGATCAACTCATCCAAGCGACTCTGCCCTAGCGGTAAGAGACAGGAGCTGTATCTTTCTTCGTCTGTCGGTAGAGCCTGAAGGCAAGCAACAAGCAAGCTCAGAGTTCCATCCCACACGAGCTTCAGCTGATCAATTGAAGTTGTAGTCAGCCATGCGATGGCCGCCGAAGCAATCTTCTTATCTCTCCGCGCCAAGTAAGACGTTATTCGGACTTTGGTACCGAGATCGGGTTGTTCGGTTGAACCTGATCCTAAAACTTCCAAACCGTAAATCGACCAAGCCTTGGTCATTTCATCAGAATGTCTTGATGAATCAAAGCATCTCTGGATGATTTCTAGCAGCATATCGGTAGCCACTTTGCTATTACCGGTGTTCGACAAAACACACAGCGTTTGAATTACTGGATCGACCGATAGCTGGACTAGAAGCGATTGTTTTTCTTGCGGTGGCAGTGCTGAGGTAAGGTTCACTAACTTCATTACTGAGCTGACATAGTTGGCATCACTGAGAAGTCCAACGTTCATGGAAGAAAGTAGGGCTACAAGAACCTTGGATTGTTGTACTGCGTCGAGTAACGGGAACAAGTAACAAGCGCTTTGGATCAACTGTACATAGCGGTCAGTGGATAAAAATGCCCCAATCAAACCTGTCAGCTTGCTAAATTGAGGTACTCTCAAGTGAACGACGAAGGTAGTGAGCAATCAAAAAGATGACTCACAGCGTTTTTCTTAGCAGTCGATTTTCCTTTCTTAACATCCGATTTAAGGTGGGATGATGCCGAGTCACAGATCAGATCGGAATAGCGAGTAAGCACCTTGACGTTTTGGTGTTTCGGATTTTCTAGAGCAGGACATGACACTCGAAGAATATCTTTCAACGCGCGCAAGAAAATCAGCGCGTCAGCAATCACATTGTATATCATCATCCAAAAAAAAAAAGGTGAAACCACTCACCCAATAACACTTCGAAATCTTTCTTTGCCACAAGCAGTTGCGAAATGTGTACCATCTCCTCGAGAAAGCATTCAACCACGACGATGTCATGATTGAATGATTTTGAAATGATGCCGACTAGTGCTTTGATGTTAGTGGCTTTCGTTTCATAACCAAGCTGTTCAAGATCAGGAAGATTGTTTTGAGTTTGTTGACGGCAGAAATCGGCAATCGTGAACTTTTCCACCTCAACGGCGCGAGTCATAAATCGAACTGCTCCCAACTGTTGATGGCTCGGTTGAATTGCCTTATCGATCGAGCTTGCAGGGGTCGCTGTTAGACTTGATTCCATGAAGGCTACGGCCTTTTTAGGTTTGGAAGGCTTGGCTTTCTTGTGCGTGGAAAAAAACGACTGATGCATCAAGTCAAGAGCTAAGATTTGATCGGAGAAGATACTTTGAGTGATATACGCGGGCCAGGAGATGGGTTGGCACAGAGACTCGGCAGTTGGGGTTGTTAGTTGAGTTGCTGATCGTAAAACATGCATTATGACATCACCTAAGTAATCGGGGTACGTCGACTGCCTATCCGAGGGGCTACCAAGTGCAGTACTGAAAATTTCACTGAGTTGAAATGCAATATCATGTATCACAGTAATCGGTCGAGTTTGATGTGAAGTCGAGAGGACCATGAGAAGGTAAAGATTAAGGAATTTGATGACCAATGATATCAACGCGACCCTGGTTGAATTAGTCGACGAAGTAGAGGCGCCCTTGGTAATCGCGCTGACTTTGACTAGTAAGGCGGATATCAATGTCGGAGGTCTGATGTCGCTCTTCGACTGAGGTGAGAGATTCTGGCGCTCCTCGCTGATTTGAAGGTATTTTAATGGATTTCTGAGACATGCACGAATGCAATCTTCTAAGAAAACGACCAACGGTGTGACACAGCAGTCGTCCACTCTTCTCAGTTCCGATAGGGCACTGAGCCAGATGCAAAGTTCTTGATATTCATTCTCGTCTCTTAGATGAGGGACGATTGATTTACAGATTGCTTGCAGAGTTTCTTGAGCGATACTTTTGATCAAGAGCGGCGTGTGAGTACCAACCGCAAAGTTCTCGGGCTTGTTCGACGTTTGAAAAGAAGAAAGTAATAATAGAACTTTGACCAAGGCAGGAGAGGGTTGTGTTGGGTTGGTCAAGGCTGAATGTGCAATAAGAAGCAGAGTGCGCGATTGGCAGAGGTATGCGATGGGACTCTGTAAGCGATGTAGTGCCAACAATGAGTTGGACTGTGATTCTTCATTTTGGTCATTGAGATTCAACGTGAAGAAGGTCGGTATAAGTTTTGTATGGTCGAAATTGAGATTGCACATCGTTTGGGGTATTAGTTGATGATACAATAGCAGAACAGCTAGTGCACAAAATGTTACAATATCACCGTCGGTATCGTTGTCCTGTTGAGGTTTGGCAACTACGTTAGACTGCGATTCCTCATTCGACTCCCCGGAAGCGGCTACAGGGGCACTTTTGCGTTCATTTGCGCGGCGAGAGGCGGTTTGTAGAACTGCGATGAGAACCTGGGGGTCGGGCAATACGGCTTGTAGGGACTGTTGAAAAGCTAGCAGCAGCTTCGGCCACAGGTTTGAGTTGGCTGTTGAGTGGTCAACTATTGTTGATTGGATGACACGTTCGAGCTGGTGAGAGATATTTCGAGCTTTCTTCAACCCAGTGAGTAGGAGTGCAAGTGAACTAAACGAAACCAGCGCATCCGGAAATTGTAATGCCTTGGTAAACCAGGCTCGGTTTAAGGGTGTCGGAATACATTGGGCAAGTAAATTTTTGGCAAGGCTTGTCAGACTGTTCATGTTGTCGGGGATCAGAGAGGAAGTTCCGATTCCAAAGGACGATTCAAAGGGTATTGAGGCCACTTTGGTGGCGAAACCAACGGAAGAGATCCAAGTCAAACTTGAGGATGGCTCGCTAGGAGGAGATGCAGTCCGCCAAAGCGAGAAGCATAATGAGGGAACTGATTCCAGGATATGAAGAGCGAGTCGCCAGCGCCTCATGGATTTCGTAGGCGATAGGCATTTGACCAAATTCAGTAAGATACGGTACGGCGGCAATCTGGAATTTGCTTGATGCTGGAAAATACTTGTTGACATGGAGTTCGCCAGATACGCCGTTAAATTTTTTAGAAACCTCTCTACCATATGGGCCACTGTTTCGGTCACATTGAGCTTGGAGTGTTGAGTGTCCTTGACACTATCGTCACGCTCGAGTAGTTGGACCAACAGGGTGATTGCGTTCTGATCAAAAATCTCCCATCCTGAATGGTGCATGAAAGCATTATGGCTGTGATTTCCTGAATCCCTGGCATGACGCTTCGTGACATCCTCCCATAGATTTCCGAGTACAAATGCCACGGTTTCATACGGGTCTACTTGCAAGCCTTTTAGAACGCCTTCCGCTAGGCCTTTAGTCTTCCATAGCTCCTGTTTGGATGATGAACGTAATTCGGTACTTGAGATTACACTGAAAATGAACCGGAGCATGAGGGTACGGATGTCTGCTTTGTGTAGCTGTCCTTTCAGTTTGGATGATTTTGGAGCGGTGCGATTTCCTTTCTGATTTGGTAATGTCGTTGCTTCGGGGCCAGTAACCGTTTGCCGAGTCTGCAGGAGTCGTGTGACAGTTTTATGATCCCATCTCAACTCGCCAATTACGATCTTTGCGCATGCTCCTTCATTCCAACAAACGCAAGATATCAGCAAAGTCAGACAAGCCAACGTAGCCTCTGTCCTCCCAGGCGCAAAGCATCGATGAATAGATTTCGAATGATTCTGGATGAGGTGGTTGATTATTCTTGAACCGTCTACGGTTTGTCGAGTCTCAAAAGGTGATGAAGGTGATCTGGAGATGAGATAAGATAAGGTATATAACGAATTTGCCAGTAAATGGATCGAATTTGCCTAGTTGTCACATCCTGTTTCAGTCAATTGGATCAATATCATTCTGAGAGAGCCAATTGATAAAGTACCTCACGAGCAACATTGAGAACCTGGAAGATCGAATCGGCGGCAGGCTCGAGTTGAAGGTAATCAATTACAACGGCCGGGAGAGGTTTGATTGAACAGAGCTGGCGTAATTGACTAAGTGCTGAAGCATTCAGAACAGAAAATAATCAATCTCTATCTGGTCAAGTTAGAATGCAACTGTGATGAACTCACCTGAACCAATCTTCACAGGATCCTGAGCTTTCAATCCAGCGATGACCTGTTCCCCAGACTTGAATGCTTGGGCCATGGCGAGCGTTTGTTGAGGCGGAGATTCGATTGTTTGCTCTTCTTTATCCTCGTGTCCGTGTATCCAAATCGGCGACCATCAAAATGAGGGAAGATGGGCACCTCAAAGCATCATGGGATTCTTTGAGTTCACAAATTCTTTGGGCGCATGCATCCAGCCCCATATTGCATATATTCAGTATGCCATATCCAAGGGCGAGGTGTGTGCGATTGGTGACATGCTCGTGACACATTCTGGTGGTACACCACCACGGTCCACACCTTCCACACCCTTGTCGGCCTCGAGGTGCTTGTTGAAATGAATCCATGCCGTTCCGGTCAGACTCACTGCTCAGTCGGAAATTTGATCAAGCTCTTCCTGCCCCGATCAGACGAGAACTCAATGCCTGAATTATTGCCTTCGGCTTGTCAAAACCTCATCGGCCTCATCGGTGCGACACTCTTTGAGTATGAATAAGAGTGGACGTATCCACAAGTATCAAGCTGTCTTCTGATGGTCAAGTCAAAGTCAAACGGGTTTGGTCGTGGATTCCCAAAGGAGTCTGGGGATCGGTACACGCATATATTGCCGGTTAAAAACATCATCCTCATCGGCCTGACCTCACTGCAAGCATCAAAAAACACTCAACTTCAGACAGATTGCATATTATTTTTGGCCTGTCCGTTCTCCCTCAGAACCTTAATTTAGCATTGAGACTGAGAGCAACTCTGAATTGCTTACTAAATTCTGCTGACCATCTTCGTGCCCTGGTGTAACTCCAAACCTTTTTTTACGCGACTTCTTATATTCCAAACATTTTGGACATTCTTGGATCCTCAGTGTACAGTTTCAAACAACCTCCAACAAAAGTGATCCATTAGTGTAGCTGTACTTGTCCAAAACAAATAAATTTCCTGTTTTTAATTCCTCTATCATGTCTTTCCGATTTCTCATTCTGATGAGCCAGATTATAAGTGTGACCTATGCGCTTGAAATGTTGCGTATGAGGATATCTTCCCCCCAACATGAAATGTACCGTGTGGATTACGCTACCTCAGACCAAGTTAATAATAAGGAGTACGACAGCATGTGGCTAGAGACCGAAAAGATACACGATACTTTTGGACGCTCGGAGATTGGACAGCAAGCTTTGGATTTGCTCAAGACGTTGAAGACGCATGATGGCGATAGTCCAACTCGGATTCTGGTAGTCGACAAGATAGCCGACTGGGAGAAGTTTTGGCTGGAGCGGGAGCGGCCTGCCGCCACATTCCACATTTTCGACTCTGCCGACAACGATCTACGCAAGTTCATCAATAAAGCATTCAGTAAACACTTGCCTAATGGGATCCCATACATGAGAATATTGCCCCTCAAGGACAGGATTTGGATCGATTATAATACTGAAATTCCTAACTCTATGGGATATTTGACCGATTGGATACCATTGGAAACAGCATTGGAAAGCTTCAAGGGTATTTCAGATCAGGGGGAGAAAGCAATCCAGCTTATCGAGCATTATGCTAAGCTTAACACCGAAAACGCGAAGTCAAAGACAAAAATCGATTTCTCGGCTATCCTGGTGGATCTTGGTGATAACGGATGGGAAGAACTCGATAGATTTAATTCTGAAAGGGGTGCTTACTACTCCCATGTTTCTGTTGAGGATCCTAAAGTGGTAACTCTGATCAACAAAACATTGTGCCAACTTTGACTGGAATTCTGCCGCTGCCTTTCTTTCTCAGAAGGCTCCTCGAAAACTAACCAAGTCTTCCAAATCTTTAATTAATATCTCCAAGTCTTTAATTAATATCTCCAAGTCTTTAATTAATATCTCAAGCAGCATGAGATTCAAGAAGACCCGGAATCCACGGACTCAGCTCATGTACTCAGCTCATGTTTTCAATTCATACGAAATCACGCGTTTTCCGTTCCCTCTGATCTTCTGTCCTTTCTGGAATTTGTTTTCGCAAGTGAATTCTAATTTATTATTTTCTAATGTCTTCTCTTGGTGTTTGAAGTTTTGATGTCAAATGACACGTATATCTTTCCTTATCATCATCACAACATTTTCTGGTGCATCCTGTTCTACTTTTCTTAAATTTCTGGTTCCAGTGACAATTGAATGACCACAGCTTTTTTCAATTTGCTTTTTTTGCCATTTCCTTTCCACAATCCTGTCTGATTTCTGAAGGTCATTATGTGTCTGTGCGTCCTGATCTATTTCTGCATTTTTTTTTTTCAAGTGACATTTCCTCTTTTATTCCATTTTATTTCTCTTCTTTCAGAGAGATCTAGGTTTGAAAATTGTAATGTCCCCCATGAAGGAACCACCCCAATCTTGGACATCTGCTTCATTAATGAACATCAGCTTTAGATCTACAGCACCCAAGAAAGCCTCTATAGTCTATAGAACCCAGTAACCAAGATGTATGAATTTTTGGTCAAAAACCAAAAAAAGGTACTCACCCCAAATGTATGACTTGGCATTTTTGCTAAGGAATGTACTCGCCTAAAATGTATGTATTTTCCCCTGGAGAAGGGGAGGTTGTAACCAAAGGTGTATGAGAGTCATGAAACTTTTGGCCACAATGCTGCATTGTGGGCAAAAATTTCATGACTCTCATACAAATGCTCCCCAACCCCCTCCCCCCTTCTAACTTGAAAGCCCAAGCCCAGGACTTATGTGCAGTTCAGAGGGGCTATTTGCACCAGCAACTATACCCCTTGGAGTGAGGAATGGTGTACAACATTTTTGTTGCCTCTTTTACCTCTCCCCCTGCTGAAGCCTGCAACACTGGGCAGTTACATTACCCATAATGGTAGTGTAAAGATAAAGTAGTGAGTTTCCACTCATTATCATTACTCTACCCATAATGATTTGAATTTTTTTGCACATTACATTATCCAATTTGCCTTGGATTTTTTTTCATGCTCATTACAGTATCAGAAACTTTTTTTTTGTTTTTTTGAAAAAAAAAAAAAAAAAACCATAAATACTGATACGACACATGATACTTTCTGGACATTCATGGCATGTGTTGCTGCCAAAGCTCAAAAAGAGGGGCTTTTTGCCACTTGTAATGTGTTCAGAGTTGCTTAACCTCTGGATAATCTGATGATGCATTACTTAATCGATTCATTACACACAAAAACTCCACCATTACACTACTGGTTGAGAGAAAAAGCTACCACTACAGATGATGGTAATGTATCAGGGAAGGAATCAAGTGCACTACATTACTGATATAATCCAGATAGTGCAGCATAAAGTAGAAGCCCAGTGTTGCAGTGAAGGTACACACCAAAAATGTATGAATTTTTCTGGAAAGTTCTGAACCTACGCACAAAACATGTATGAATGGGCTCAAAAGATGTATGAATTTTTCAAAGATCTCAGTTTTTTGGTTACTGTGTTGATCTATAGGGGCTTTCCTGGGTCCTAGCTCTACACAGCTCTTGATGGTAATTATACTGGCGCCAAATATCTCTGGTAGAAATTGACTACCTTATGATAATGTACAGCTTTTGGATAGCATCAGAAAATGTAGAAATTGGTAATATAGAAAGAGAGTTTCTCAATGCTTAAAGATATCAGCAATGAATATTGGTTTTGTAATGAATATACATAGGTGTTGGAAATACACAGATACGGATCTTGCTAATAAACTTAGATTTTGTCAGTTTTGATATGCAATACATACATCCCCATATCAGGAAATTTCCTAGCAAAGTAACGGTGATCTATGTGAGAAAACTACGTCACTTCTTCAAGACAATCACCGAATTTGAAAGCTCCAGTATTGATCCATCCAATCGATAAGATCTCTCCTATGTAGTTGATTAACAAATTCTCAAATTTGGAAGTTGGATTGACAGAGGAGAGAGGATCTATTAATGAGTCATGTAAGTGCTACATAACAACAGAGGGTATGATAAGAAAAGAATATGAGCAAAAAGAGCCAAGCAAATGCTTTAAGAAACTTTTTTTTTTTTTTGAGAGAGAGAGTGGTGATTATTTCAGGTTTTTTTTTTTTTTTTTTTTTTTTTTTTTTTTTTGAGAGAGAGTGGTGATTATTTCAGTAAAGCAAGGTATGATTATGTACTTCCAAGAAACAAGAACGGATCCTTCTAAAAGACAGAGTCAAAAAGCTGCAGTAGAAGAAAAGAAAAAAGCGAAGAGGATGCTTGTAATGGTCAAGAGAGGAAGCCGATTCCGAGGCCGACTTGCAGGCCACGCCGGGCCCCATCGCCCTTCTGAGCGACCAACGGCATCCCGACATTAGCCTCCACACGGACGTCTTGGATGCTTCCGACGAGGCCGAGCCCGATGCCTATCGACGGTTTCTGAGATCGAAGTGTGTGCCCTAGAATGGATGAAGAACCCGGTCTGAGTGGTCTGTCACAGAAAACTAGATCGCCCAGGTGTGGATAGAAAAGCAGATCTGGGACTACTCACAGTCGTTAATTAGACTGCCGGCATTGATGAACCCGTGGAGCTTCAGAGGCCACTCTGCCTTGCCCGGCACGGGCGCTAACACACTCAGCCCGCCCGCCCAATACTTCTCCCCTCCCATATAGTCATCTAAAAGTGAGCAGCCAAAACAACTAGCGGCATCAGGCTTTGAATGGCTTCTCAAGAAGTTTGGTATGGTCTACCAAAATACATCAAAATGAAAGTGCAAGGAAAAGATGTGAGAGGAGAGCAAAGGAAACTCAACTGCGATCTTTGGGTCCTAAGCTATTCATCTGAAACATCCGCACATTTGTCGGTCCACCTAACTGAAATCTGTCGTTAAATGGAGCCGGCCCTCCAGCCAAAGGGTGAATGAATCCGCATTGAAAGCCTAACGAAACAATCTATCCAAGCTCCCACGAATCTCAGAACGTCGGGTTTTTGTTCTTCTTGTTGAGGGGGTTTTCAGATCGGACATGGTACGCACCGTTGGGGTGTTAAAAAGCGGACGCGAGATGGCGGATTCGAGGGTCGATTTGACGTAGTTTGCTTGTCCGAAAACACCGGCATATTCCTGAATGCGTGCAGGTAGAGTTGAAAAGAGAGAAAAAGAGGTGTGTTCGGGCTCGATTTATATTGCGTGCTGCTCAAGTCCTCCAAAAAAAAAGGGGGAGAATCATACCTGGATAAATTTCAGTAACGAGCCTTTTGTAGGAAATACCGATTGGGTCTCGTGTGTCTCGAATCCAGGACAATGAGACGGCCGACTTGAGATTTAGGACCAGCAGCCGCGCGCCTGTCGAATACTGGCAGAGTGCAGGGATATGTTAGTCTACGAAGGCTTTTTATGATGGTGCCTGGACAAACTTGCGTTTGTGAGTCCGACTGACCTGTCTGATGCGCCTGGAAGCAGACTGCCGATCGTTCGTGTGGCTAACTCATAGGTTAGCTCATGAGCACCATAGCCAGTCTCAGTCTAAGAAATCAACATCCAAAGAAAATGACAGAAATTCAGTATTCATACAATCAATTTTCTGGAGGGTCGGGGGTGGTTTTTTATGTTAGCTTGGGCAACAACACACCTTCAGTTTAGCAGCCACTCCTTTAACTGTTTCACTACAGCTAGCAAAGCCACTGAGGTCACGTTCGGAAGCGTTGAGGGCCAGTTCGGCACGTGCTCTTGCAGCCCAGAGAGGAGCCTCGGCCCGAACCTGGCAGCTCGCCCGGGTCTTGTTCCCCAGTCCGACGGTGGCCTCGAGAACTTCGGCTCGACCACAGAGGTTCCTTGCGCGGGCGAGGCCGGTCAGGGCGCCCTCGCCATTCCCTACATCGGTGGAGGTCTTGAGGAAGAACCGGCCGCGCTCGACCACATTGACGAGCGCATCGATCCCCCACGGGTTGTCCTTGCTGGCCGCTAGAGATACTTGGAGGTGCGAGAAGATCCCCAGCTTGGCGAGTTTGTCATGAAGCTCGTCCGAGCATTTGAAGATCTCCGGCAGCGTTCGTTCCTGTCCATCGCCCAGGAGCGGTCCAAACAGCTCCGATAAGAACTCGGGTCGGGTATGGTGTCCTCCAACGACTCGGATGGCGCTGAGTTTGTAGAGATCGGAGCGATGGAATCGAGCGAGGTCCGCGAGGATCCGTCTCTGGTGTGCGTCAAGCCTCGATTGGAGTCGGTTCTGATGCCAGGCTAGTTGTCGCTCGACGTCTCCCTCGTCAAACAGGATTTGGGGGGATGCTGGTAGGGATGTCGAAGCTGTGGACTGAGAAGTCGACATCGAAGTTGTTCGAGGTGGATGTTAAGTTTCCTCGGCCCAGTCCAAGCTTGGGCTCACGCGGGGAGGCCCTTGGTTGTGGCGGGACTGTGGCTCCGGGTGTCGGGCTTCCTCACCCCATGCCTTCTTCCTCGGCGACCGTTGCTTCATCCACCGGCCTGACCGTCCCTCCATGAGTCCCTCCGTCGGCAGCATACAATGGCTGTCTTCGCGACAAAATTCAACTTTTACCATCCAGTCCTCATGTGAACCATCTGCACTATTCGGCTTCACCAATTTCTATGTAGCATTCGGCCAGAAGAAAAAAAGGCGCCCCTCTCCCCTTTTTATTTTATTTTATATTATATTATTTTTATTTATTTTATTTCTTTTTTTCACGATTCTCCTTATATTTTTCTGCTTTTTTTTGTCATTTTTTTTCCCCCCTTTTTCCTGCTCCTCTCAATTAAGGCTCTTCTTTCCTTTTCAGTCATCTTCATCATTTCATTTTATTTCTCTTCTCCATCCTCCTTTTTTGTATTTTTCCACCCTGTTGTTTGATCTTTGGATTAGCTACTATTTTCTGTGACTTGAGGATTGATGAGGTTGTAGTACTAGTTGGCTAGGTACCATGTCAATGCCTGCATTTTTCTTATCGATGCTAGTTGCTGCAGCACCGGTCGGGCCTGCCGGAACACCTGCTACATAGCTCGTTACAAGCAGTCATCTTTTCGTTGACCCGCTTGCATGTGAGGCAGCGCATCTTCCACTGTACCACCCTGCCCCGACACATGGTGCATTGCGACCGCCCGGTGCCGACCAAGATCTGAGCGGTGGCCGCCGAACAGCCCGGGCCATGCCATGTGCGGTCAACCGCCGGGACGTGGCATTTTGGACAATTTTCAAACGGGTCGCTGCGTACTTTGTCGCATTCCGAGCAGCGATGCACAACCGTCCATAGGGTTTCACCGCAGCCGGGGGTTCTACAGGGCTCCTCCCGCATCTCCAAAGATAAGGTACCAATGCAGTCAGGAGTAGAATGCTTGCTGAGTCCGCTGACAAGCGCAGGTCCTTCAGCTGGGGCCGCAAGTATCATCGACAGGCTGGACAAAGTCACGAGTATCATGGGGGCGATGAGACGCATGGCGACTGAGGAAGTAGAGCGATTAAGATCCTAAAGCAGGAATTGAACAGCTGAGCTTTTGGTGAGGTTGAAGGATTGATTATTATAGATATTGATCGAGTAACCGTTTGGGCGATTGGGCCATGTCAGAGTGGAATGAAAAATGCCTATTTATCGCGGAGAAACACCCCGGCATGAGACTTTGGTAGGACTCCAAGCTCAGAATTGAGACAATGACCATGACCAGGACGACTGAGTTCTTGAGATGTGGAGAAGCTCTGTTGTATGGTCCACCCATCTATCAGCCGTAACATATCATCTGGTCTTGATCCCCATCTGACTGTTTCTAATCAGAGGGGCAAGATAGAGATTCCAACTCACTCCTCAAGCATTTTTCACCAAACAACATTCAGCACATTCTCCTGCTGAGCATTCCTTATCTGGGGTCAAGAATGTGAATGAACGATCTTAAGGAATGTATTTCTTAAATGAGTATCAAAGTCTTTAAAGAAATACATGGAATGAAAAAAGAAATAATGTCTAAGCTTAGCCTTAAGGCAAACAACAAGATAGCAATGAAGAAGAAAACAAAGAAAACAATGTAGAACAAAGAGAAAGTTCTGAGAAATAAGAAGTGAAATGTGAAGCCATTAATGTCCTGATTGAAACAGTCAAGCACGATAACGGATAACCTACAAAGATGAGTTGACCAAGGGACTGAAGAAGGATTGGCGAGTTGTTGAAATAGAAGGGAAGCACAGGTCAGGTTGGCAAAAAAAGGTGTTATGGAAGGGAATGTGCAGAGCAAGGTCAAGTAGGTTCTTGAAGTGGAAGAAATCTGTGGAACAAGAGCAAGTTAGGTGATAGATGGTAAGGAGGTAATGTGATAAAAGTAGGGGCTTAGAAAAATGACACCTAAAGATTACGTAGTCTAAACTGACTCCCATTACATACACCACGGGTTCTGGTGGACGAGTGCTTGACGGAATCGATTCCGTCAGCTTGACCCATGCTGCTCCGACCAAAATTTTGGGGTGCTTCATAGCGGGGGGCGTAATACCCCGCGGTCGGCTTGACCCTTCAACGTCGGCTTGCCAGCGGTTGCCTGGCAAGCTTGCGGCGGCTTGACGGCATTTTTTCATCATGACAGTGGCTGCGCAGCAGCGCGCTGCAGAACAAAAAAAATCAGCTTGGGGCTTGAACACTCAACCTAGGCTCACAGCATCTTAAGCTCACTGCCCAGTTGCATGCTGATGGCTGGAGAGCTTATCCAACTGTGCCAATCACACCACGGACAATTGCATGTCGCTCCCGCGCGGAGCGACATCTGGGGGTTTCATTGGGGGTTTCGTGCGCAGTCACTGCGCCTACTGCCGCAGTCACGCACGCGGATTCGTCAAGGTGACGGTTACATCCGCGCCGACACGCAAATGACCGTGGTGTCATATCATACCAATCCAACTTGGTTTTGCATATAAATAGATGAAAAATTTCAAATTGCATATAGGATTTTTGTCTTCAAGTTTTTTTTCTCCAAGTTTTTTTTTTTTTTTTTCTTGAGATGGCCACAAGTTTTTGGGGCATGAAAAGGGTGTAGAAAAATGTCAAAAAAAAAGTTTTTTTTCTTCATTTTCAGACATGGGGTCAAGCCGACGGTGGGACTTTTTGACCCTGAGGTCAAGCCAACGTTGGAATTACAGCTTCCCTACCCAAAATTGATGTTGGCCAGACCAATCCGGCGGGATTGCGTAAAAGGGGTCGAGCCCGACCAGTGCTTGACCGCGGGGTCAAGCCAACGGGGTGCCATTTCCAAAACTCAACCTGTGGTGTACTGTCAGTGGACGTCCAAGGGGAGTTGTTGCTCCAATTTCCCAATAAATTATTATTATAATTTTTTATTAAAAAGATGGGAGTCATTGCCTGTGTAAAAAGAAACTTTGAGAGTCTACTGTCCTCCCAAGGATGAAAAAAAGCACAGCCTTTGATATCAAGCCCCAAAGGCACTGCCACTATAGTCTATATCAATAAAAAAAAAACAGAAAGAAAGAAAGAAAGAGGAAAAACAAGGGATAAAGGCAACCAGGAAAGTGATGATAAGAGGAAACAAAGCGTTCAAAGTGGACAATAAACCAACAAACAAAATCCTTCATTCAAAAAAGCCCACAATGCTACAGCACATTTTAGCATTTTTTTTTTGTTGGCCATTTTTTGCTGCTACTAGAAGTGCTGTAGTGCAGCGTAACACAACACTACAAAACGTGTTGGATCACATTTTGAAAATGCGATAACATCACATGTCACATGCAATGTCACCTCGAATTTTCAAAATGTGATTGAATTTTCAGCACTGGCAATTCAATCGCATTTTGAAAATGTGAGGTGACATTGCATGTGACATGTGATGTTATCGCACATTTTCAAAATGTGATCCAACACGTTTTGTAGTGCAACATAGTGGGACTAACAGGCCGATAACACTTTGGCGGGCTGTTTTGAGGGCTGCTACACTAATCTTAGGGGGTGATTGAGTGTAGTGGCCGATTGCTGATACAGAAATACTGATTGATTGATTTAACCATTTGTTCAATCATGCCCGGTCGGAGTGGGCTGATCAAAAGAGCCATGTGTTATTGATGCCAGCTTCTCAGGGATTCACCACAACCACAAACAGAGACAGGAGTACAGTCAAACCTGTCTCACCGCATACCCCTTGGTGGAAAGGATTTATTATGTGGTTAGAGGGGTTATGTGGTTCTGGGAATTGCCGGGCTAAGCGCATAGGTATGCGCTTAGAAAACCTGTGAAACAGCATGCAATTATGTGGTTTGACAGGTGATTTTGACTCATTATTTTGATAGGAGAATACTTTAAATCTAATAGAGTTATGGAGAAAGACAACAGGACAACATCAATTCAAGAGATTGAAAGATTGGGTGATACTAGCTTGAACACCATTAAAATGAATTTCATCTAATATTTTTTGATGATATTTTTCTAAAAGATTACTGAGCTCATTTGCTTCTGGATTATCTTCACCATCTAAGTAGGAAAGAGTTTTTGAAAGCAAACCAGTCACTTCTTTTTTTTGATGATCTCACAGGTCAGTTGGAACTTCTTGCTCTTCATCTGTATTGGTGTTGTCATCATTGTCTTGTACTTTAACCAAGTCCAAAATCTCTTCAGTTGACCATATTTTTGTGACAACATTTTTCTTGCCCTCTGGGTAAAGTAGATGATGAACCAACATCTGATTGACTGGGAGAACTAGGCCGATCAACTCTAATGTGTCGAGTTGGGATGATATCATTGATTCAGCTTGATCAATGTCTTTGTTGCTAAGAAGAGATTACTCTTGGTCACTGAGGCAAGGTGTGGAAATAAAGTGTATCCCCATTACAGGAAATATGAATTGAGGTTGGTTTTGAGCTCAATAGCTCTAAAAAACAATCAAAAGATTAACAGTAGGCATAATGTTGGAGTTTGTCTAGTTTGAAGTGGTTGATGGGCGGTCCAATCTTTGGGAAAAACTTTCTCACTGTCAAACAATCCTGTCAGAAATCTATGCACTTAGGCAGAGAATGTTCCCCAATTTTCCCCAAAAGAGGTATGTGGTATGCTGTTATGCGCTTTTTGACCAAAATTTGCAAATTTGGCCCACACCAATTATGGTGGACCAAGACCAGTATGTGGTACAGGAGGTTATGCCGTTAGACAAGTATGTGGTATGGGAGGTCTGACTGTACATTTTCAGACTTTATGAATGGCTGGCATGTGGAGCGTGAAATTGGAAAGGAAACTGCATCAATGCAAAGTCCCACCCACCCACTATGTATCTCCTTTGACAAATCCTCCAACATCCAAAATTGTTTCCTTTTTTTTAAACTATGAATAAAAACAACATTACACCACAAAACAAATGTATAAATAAATAATATTCCATCATCCATCTTCCCCAAACCAATAATAACCATATAACGATAACCAAACCAAATACACACAATCAAATACACACACAAACACATACACACAGATTTCCAAAATGAGCGATACCAGAAACAAAAGAAGAGAAAGCTCTAGGAGATAAAGCGTGATAAAACCCATCCCACAAATAAACCCCCATCCAAAAAAAAGGAAAACCAGAATCGACCAATTACAGAAACCAAACCAACCAAAAAAAAAGAAAAGGAAAAGGAAAAAAATAGCTCAATGATGATGATGATGATGATCGAGATCAAAGTTAAAGACGGACTGGGAGTCGTCATGAGAGAAGAAGGTTTGACTGGGAGAGAGATGAGTTGGCAGCCGATGTGATTGATGATGGGGAGGCGGAGGGGGGTCGGCAGGGATATGATGGATGGCTCTCGAGGAGAGTCTGAGTGGATCTTCTTCTTCTTCTTCCTCTTCCTCTTCCTCCTCCTCTTCTTCTTCTGGATCATCCTCATCATCATCATCCTCCTCCTCCTCCTCATCTTCATCCTCCTCCTCATGATCATCATCATCCTCCAGATCATCCTCATGATCATCATCATCATCCAGCTCATGTTCGCCCGGGATCCGAGCAAGATGATGACCCAAGAATTCGTCTCGAGAGTCGATTGAGAGCGAGGATTGATGATAGAGTGGAGGATGAGGGGGGAATTGAGCAGCAGCAGCAGCAGCAGCCGCAGCAGGGGGAGGAGCATTAGGAGGATGATGATGATGGGTGCGACGTGGGGAGGAGCTACCGGAGGACGAGATGACGCTGAGAGGGCGACTAGTGGAAGAGAGGCCACCGACGAGGGAGGAGGAGGAGTGAACGGCCATCGACGGCCTCGTCTCTCGACCCCCGACTTGTTGTTCGCGCTCATCGACCGGTTCGGCAGTCGGCTTGACATGCAGACTAGGCCGATTGGCACGTCTCTTACTCAACGAACGAGAGAGGATCGCGGCTACTCGTGCGGTGGATGGGTTGAGGGGCGAGGAGATTCTGGAGGAGGAGGAACCGTGCCCAACACCGGCGTGACTGCCAGCAGGCCCATCCTGTCCAAAGAAGTCCGACAGATCGTGTAAGGTCGAAACCATGTCCCCGAAACTCTCGTTGGTCTCCGCAAAATCCGACTGGGTTTGGTTATCGATACTGTTCTCGGCCTCATGTCCCCACTCATAGGTGAATTCAACCACCGAGGATCGGTTCAGACTTTCGCTCATAAAACTCCCCGCAAAGCTTTCGATCACGTCCGTCAATCTACTCCGAGTAACCCGCATCGATTCCTGCGGATTCGGCACACACCATCCCGTCTCATCGGGTATCCCAAACACTTTCTTAGACGAGCCTTCCTCGCTCGTCGTTCCCATCGCTTTCCGTCCGTTCAACGGTCGACTCTTGATCGGCATCGGTTCTGCCAAAATATCCAAGGCTTGTTGAGAGGCAGTAGTCTGTAGGAGATGTAACAGGGGCGTGAGTAAGTCGTAGCCTAGCTCGTTAATCCCCGACGAGGAAAATGTGGGCTCGATCGTCTTGAGGAACAACTTCAGGACGGCCAGGGTTTTCAATCGAAGCCATTCCAGTGGATTACACAATAGACCAAGGTAGACGATCAGGATATCAGCCGAAAACTTGGGGAGAAAGTATTCTCGAATTCCATTAACGGCCTGACGTAGGAAGTCTTCCTTAGTCCTGAATCGATTCTTAGCGAAGGAGACCATGACTCTAGATAAGCCGTCCATTCTGAATGTTTCAGCGATTCGGGCAACGCTCAGTGCGATCTCATCGATCTCATACTGCATCACACTGGTCTCCAACACATGAAAACACCAGGGCAAACAGGCGGCATACAACAAGCCGAGACCGCCATTGAGCCAATCAATGATCCCGCAATTGTCCGGTAGATCTAGCAAGTCCTTCACCAAGCTCCACGAGGCAGAACAGAGTTGGGACGAACGTAGTCCTTTGGTCAATAATGCTCTGAAGGGACTGGCATCAGATTCCCACTGGCTTGGTCTAGAATTTGCAATTTCGTAAGAATGACTAGGCTCGATTGACTTGACCACCGATCTGATCAACTCGATCGCCTCCAAGAATTCGAGGTCATTAGCCGTCTCGAGACATGAGACCCCGGTCCAAAACAACTGCGCATAGAGGGCCGAGTTCCCCGGTGTGATTTTAGCACAATCCGAGTAAGTAGTCAGGGCTTCCAACGCGAACAGCTGGATATCCTGTGAAGGATCAGATGCGGTATTGGAGAGACGGACGAGAAGTTCGGCAAGTAGAGTAGGATCGACCGACAATCCGAGCACCCTGACGACTTGTAACGATCGACAAGCGATGTGTCGGACGGGACATTGGGTGGCCCATTCGACAGCCACTTGGGTCCAGTTACGAGTGAAATCGGGGAACAGATGAGACGAGAGAGAGGCGATCTGATGGACTAATGACTCCATGTTAGCCGGAGGACCTTTGCGATGTCTGCGAGAGCCACCGAGATCATCGAACTCCCAAAACGATCTCCATGGTTCCCGGTCGGAGGGGCCATCTGAAGATGAGCTACTCGGGGCTTGGTTATTGGACATTTGGGCTCGGCGCAACATGCCCACAAAGCGGACTAAGCCTTCTTGCATTTGAGTTCTAAAGGGTGGATTAGTGTGATCCACTTGAACGACATAAGCGTGGAGAATGTGCGGCAGACGATCGGCGAGCGTGAGAGGCCGGAGAACCATCGTTTCACCCAGAAGAAGGATGACGGCTTGCATAGGAGAACAAACGGCTCGAGAGGATAGGGCAGGAAAGTAAGCTTCTAGGTCAAACGATCTCGATCCAGATGAAGCAGTCGAGCCAGGATCGCTTAGAGAAGTTGCAGCAGAAGCGGCCAAAAGTTTGGCGGGCTCGACAAGACTCAGTAGGTCTTTGTGAATCGAATCTGTCGCGTCATCATATGACATACAAGATATCAGGGTTCTCACTAAACCAACAAAGCTGGGCAAGCCACGTCGGGCGGTTTGCTCGACAAGATATGTGGCGATGGCTTTGGAGTTAGCTGGAGATGCATTGGCAAATGATGTCCAGATCGATCGCACCTCGTCAGAGTGAGTATCAATTATCTTGGAAGTGACCAAGAGCACGACATTGATAAGATTTCTGAATTTAGAAGAAGAGCTATCTGGTATAGTAGTAGGCAACTGAATCTGGTTGAGCCAGCTGGGCATCAGACGGGCGAGCGGCTTTGACTTCTGCGGATCAGTTTGAATGATTCGGGAGCCTAGCTCGATGATGAAATCAATCGAAGCCACTTTCCGTAAACTACAAACAGTGGCCGAGGTACGAAACTGGGCGGCTAGATGTTGTCCAGAAAATGCGCTTGCCAGGTTAACTTCGACGTCCGACAACAGGTCCAATTGTGTACTAAGCATTCCGCGCGCTTTCAAAAGGTCGATGGCTTGCTGTCGCATCGTCAAGTCTGAATGGGTCAGCCGAGCCAGACAAATCACTAGTAAGGCTGAGTCACGGATCTGAAGGCTTGGGTCTGATATTAATGCATTCCCCAAGAGCCCAAAGAGAGTCTGTAGCAACGGCATGGCTTTAGTTTCATTCCAACAAAGCGTCAGTGTCGCCTCTAGCAGCCGATCTGATTCGCTGCTACTTTTCACAGACCCAATGAACGCTCGCCTAGGTAAGAAAAAAGGGGTGTTTCAGAACGTGTAGAAAAATTTAGAGTATATAGAAACGGTTAAAAGACTCACCTTGCTTGGATGTGCGACTTGGGGTCATTCTTTTCAAATAACATTACAATCCATCTCAGAAGTCGTGAAACACTGATGCGGGGACGATCCGCACTACTTTCAGGTCTAGTCTGGGTGCCACTTGCGACCCGAACGTCCAGATAACTCTCCTAAACAAACCCCAAATTTTACCCATAACGTAGGCAATGTTAAGAGCCAAACTAACAAAAAAAATATGAAAAGCAAAGGGTATGAGTGACTTACGCATAAAGTAGCGATCATCGATGCTGAAGCAGGAAGAAGATCGCCCGAGATGGTAGTCGAAGAAACTGATGGCCTTCCTCTTTGGGATACATTAGCTCGACTAGATAAGGAGCCAGTGCGTGAGGGATGACCATCATTCCCAGCGACACCATTATTAGTATTGAAGTTCAGATTACCATGTGTAAATTGAGTTTGAGAGGAGGACGAAGAAGAAGAAGAAGAATTGATAGCTCTGGTACTCCAATCTTCAGCCAAATTGTAAAAATCAAGGAAGAGCTCTTTGGGGAATAATTGAGTATGGCTGCTTTGAGTTTTCAGGCCATCATGATCAATAGCTGCGGAAGAGGAGGAGGAGGAAGAGGAGGAAGAGCGGGTGGATCGTACGGTGGCGACTTTTCTTAAGAGTCTTTCAGCGAAGATGAGGAAAGATTTGCGGATGGAGAGGGAGACGATATCATCTAGATTCTGTTGAGATTTCAAAAAGATACAAGTCTCTCGAGTGAATTTAGAGAGGATATCAACGGTCCTTTCGGTGATGACAAACTCAGGATGAAACATGAGTTTAGTGGTGGATTCGTGGAGCTTGCCAATAGCTGAGAACAATCTGATGATCTTGACGGTCCCGTTCGGTCGGGCAGAGCGATCCTTTTGGGCTTCTATCATCTTACGTTCACTCGTCAAATGATGGGCGAGTCCTGAGAGGCCTTCTAACAGCGTCGGATACATCGAGACATGGATCGAGCTCATGGCCCGGATCGTGGCTTCCCTGAACGGGGGCTGGTCTGAAGTCAAGAAAGGTACTAAAGTCTTGATCAGATCCTCCCCAGGAGAGATGTTTCTTTCACGAGCCGAGGAACTTTGAGAAGTGTTTGATAGGGTATCGATCGTCGGACTGAGATTACCAGTCTTTGGGTCGGTCGACGTGGTGATGCTGGTGACGCTGATGAGGAGTGAAGACCAAGACATGTACAGGTTGCGATCATCCCAGCCTGGATTGAGTCCGGTGCCGTTGACCGTTGAACGGCCACCGACACCAGCTGCATCGGAGGCTAAGGGATACAGACGCTGGAGTTGGCCGTAGAGTAGGATTCGAGCATGAGATACGGTGGCAGGTAGGTGTACGAGGGAGGTGCTGAAGATCGAGGATAGAGCAAAACAGAGTAACGTGAAGTCGGCTGGATTGTCTGATTCGAGCAGGCGGGTCAAGCTCTCCCCATTGGCCACCTTGCGGTGTTTTTTCCACTTGACCAGTCGGGTCCGCTCGACGCTCGAGAAATCATCAACGTTCAAATTATCGAACAGGCGCTTCTCGGCCTCGACTAACAGATTAGTGACACTGCAGGTCGAATTGAAGGTCGTTGATCTTGGGGTGGTGACTGAGCTGGCTTCTTGGAGAATCCCACGGGCAGTGGCAATGATTCGTAAGGCATCCAAGGCTGAACGACGGATATAATAGGACCTAGAGCATAATAAAACCAAGCCGGTGGCCTCCATGTGACAGAGCAGCTTAGTTCCCTCGGCTCCAAAGGAGGGAGAAGACGCGTAGTCTGGATCTTCTCCATTGACAGATACCTTGCGAATGTGTTCACACCATCCCGTCAAGGCTTCCACCCAGAACTTGACTAGGTTTTCAACTTTCGAGTCGAGCCCTTTCTGAAGATGAGCCTTGATCCGGACCAAGAAGTCTGGCTTGACTAGAAATCTCGTGTAGGCTTGAAGGACGGCAAAAGATTTACCAGCCTGTAGAAAACGCCGCAAGCACAGTTTGGCCTCAATCGTCACACCGACGTCCAGGGAAACCAATCCTCTGAGTAAGATAGCAAGAGACGCAGACTCAGATGCCGGCGAGTTTATGATCCGCGGCCACGCCTGTAAACAGGTTTGCAAGACATCAAAGGTGGGCTGAAGGTGGCGAGGGTATTCGACTGCAAAGGCACCGTGTCGTTTGATGACGGTAGGGCCATCAAACGTTTCGGCTCTTGCCGCAATGCTATCGTGCCAAGGAGTTAAATACTTGTCTTCGTTAATGGTGAACGGAGCCAGGGTGCGATCACAGTAAGCGGCCATCTGAAGGACCTTGGTACCGATGGAATCCACAAATGCTTTGATGCGTGGCTTCTCGAGCAGTTCGGGCTTGAGTGCCTGACCGTCATTGGGTGATTCCCCAGTCTTGGCGTAATTAGGATCATAGATGATGTGTGGGTTCGAGCAATTTTTTGAGTGCTGGTGATGGTCATTGGTGGGGTAGGATGGATCTTGACCTTTTTCCAAGGAAGTCAGCGCTCTCAAGCTGCCGGTGATTCCGATCATGATTCTTTCAGCCCCGGTTTGGGCTACTAAGCCTTGGTTGTTCTCGTTGGCATCATTTGCGTAGGTAAGAAGTGATCTGAGGACGAAATCGGTACCATAGTCGAGCTGCCAGTACAAGATATAATGGATCAGTGAGACAAACGTATCAAGGGAAACCTCTGATGGATAGACATTCTTCCGATCTGGAGGGAAGGCCGTCTTGAGGATCGGTTCGAGGCGTTTGTTGAGGGCCGATGCACCTTCCCGAACCCGATGCAGGTATGACCAAGTTAGTTGTACAATCCCTAGCATCATGGTGGCTCGGGTGCTCTTTTCTTTGAGCTTGGTAGTGCACCAGTCTACGGTCTCAGTCCATTTGGGTAATAGGAGCTCTTGAGGTGCGGCACCAACAGCTGCACACATCAATGGGACCGTTGAGTTCCAGTATCTTGATTTTGAGGGTTTATCCGACATGGAGTGGGACTTGTTGAGGATGAGGTTGATTGCTTTGCCCCAAACGGGATGATTGACTTCTGCGGTGGCAGATTGAACAACTTGAGCGAGTAAAGGACCCAGAGTTTCGGCCATTGCGGTCTTAACAGACGAGCCTCTGGATGCCTCGAAGACGGTCGCGAAGGCCGAGATGAAATCGGCAGTGTCCTCAAACGCCTCGAGTGGGTAAACCTTCAATTTCAAGAACTGGACGCCTCGGATCAAATATCCCAATCTGGCTTCTCCATCTTTCTGATCACGAAGATAGGCGACACGATTCATTGCGTCCAATTCGGCTGCAAATCGATCGCTGACACTCGTGAATCTGTGGGAGCAAGTATGAATTCCATATGCTGCCCTTCCCCAACGACTTGACAAAGTGGGCCTACCTGATATTAGACAGAGCTCCAAGGAGATAGGCAAACATATTCATATTGGCCTGCTTGTTAGGCGTCCTAGCGGTGACGTGACTGTATAGAAGCAGTGATGATGAGGAATCTGAGGCAGAGTAACAAAATAAGCAATGACTCAACCTACGGATCCGCATTCTTGATTGAGTTAAAGATAATCTCTTCCAGACGAGTGCCCAACTCTTCACCTAGTGCTTCACGAGTCACCACTTGGACGATTGAGATCAAGGCGCGACAGAGGATGTAGACCAGTGCAAGCTGCCCAAAGAGAGATAGAGTCTGATCAGAGCTGCCTGAAAGATGAGCAGGTTCATCTTGACTCACGTTTTTGCGTTCAGATAGGACAGCAGTAACCCGACGAGCATTGAGAGAATTACCACTGGTGACCCTGATCGCTCGTCCAACCAAATAGGGATTAGCATAGTCTGGTGAGATGGAAGACTATTTGAGATGGAATCTACTAGGGCTCACAAGGCGCGTTGGATGGCATAATCATCGTTTAATTCTCCTTGACGAGACTTCCACCGCATCACGAAATTGACGACCTGGGCAGGGTTTTTCTTGGAGACTTGGGCAAGAGAAATGAAGGTGGCATCGAAGGCCGGATCGACACCGTGTCCCAAGCAGTACGGTATGTATACATCATCTTCCACAGAGTGGGTAGGCTAACAAAACAATGGGGGAAAAATAAAAGAAAAATAAATTCAAGGATCAATTCAGCTCACATGATGTGTGATAAACTCACAATTGGTTTGCTTAAGAGTTGGGCCAGTTTACTTTCACACTCTTCAAAAAATCTGTCCATGATTAAAAAGATGGCTACCTGTGTGTATGATCATATTTTTCTTTTTTTAGCGGATCAAGACAGATTAAGTGATGAGTTGATTGAGATAGATACCTCGAGGGGTGGGTGATGGTCGAGCTGAGGACTGCCTGTTGTAGAGTGTGAGGAGTTAGTGGTACTGGGATCGTTTCTAGTACGAGGGAATCTACCATTTTGAGAGCCGGACTGAGCAGCGGACATCGGATTAGGACTGGCTGGGAAGGGGGAAGAGGGGATCTGGTTGGGAGGGTGTTCATTTTGATTACGTTGGTTTGGGTTGGATTTGGAGTTGTTGATACCCGATCTGAGACTAGCGACGGATAGTTTTCTGTGGGTAGTTCGACTAGTCGTTGCTGGTGTTGTTCCAGTGGTCGGTAGTGGTGGTGGTGGTGGTGGTGGTGGTGCTTGATGATGGTAGGCTGAGTTGAGTGAGGGGCTTGAGGGAGATTGATGGAGTGGGTTGTGATGGTTGATGCTAGGGTTTCTTCTGATTCCGATGTTGGTGTTGTTAGTTTGTTCGTTGTTGTTGTTGCTGTTGTTGGTGAGGATGTGTTGGTTTGCGCTCGGTCGACGGGAGAGTGGTGCTGAGGTTGTGGGGTGTTGTCCTCCGAATGGTCTGGAGGCTGATAGGTTGGCAGTAGTAGTGGTGAAGTTGGGGAATGATAGGCCAGTGGTGGTGTTTGATCCATGCCTTCGATGTGAAGTTAGGCTGTCGTCTTCGAGATCCGGAATCTCGATCTGCATCTTGGACTTGATAAAGTTGAGAAGTTGAGAAGTTGAGAAGTTGATGGGATGGATGAGGATGGGATGGGATGATGATGATGATGATGAGCAGGTTGAGAGTAGCCCATGTGAAAAAAGATGATGACATAATCCAAAGCACGATCACCTTGTACGATCACCCCGCGGGCTTCAAAGATTCAGTACACCCCTCGACCAATATGAAGTACAAATTCAGACTTATTTAAATGGCCATCACTTCTGGACAGTCTCCTGGGCAAAACTTGGTCAAGGTCTCAAGATGTTATGGAGAGAGACTCTGCTTGGCAAAACTGTTTATTCCTCATGAGTTTGTCAGCAGGAGGCTCTCCTTGGCCAAATCTCCTGTTTCCAAAGAGGAGTTATCCTTCACCATCAGGAATAGCATTTTCCCATTGAGCTAAAGGTATTGATCTTTTGTGGCAGGTGTAGGCTTTAGGCTGTGTCTACCTGCCAGAGAGAGAGACTGTATCCATCTACTGTGGATGAATTCTTACATACTGGAAAATGGGTGGATGCTGTACCTCCCAGTGCCAGCAAGGAACTCAAGGAATCTACCTCAGCTGGAATTCATGGCTCAATAAACCCCAGGGAATTGCTCCTTGATCAAAAGTGATCAAATTCTATACCTACCCACCAAGAAGAATGACCTCGGTAATTGAGTCAAACAGATACTGCCTGCCAAGAAGGATTCCTCCTTGGCCTTCAGGTACAGAATAAACTTATTCTTCTGAATGATTATACTCCTTGAGGGGGAGGGTAGGTACAGGCTGTGTCTACCTGCCTAGGAGAGTCATCTTGGCAAGGAGGATTCCTCCTCCACAAGTGGAAGCTTCACTTGCCAAGGTGTGAAAGGACACAGCTGTCATTTCCTCCTCGGGTCACATTAGCCACAAGACAAAATAAATAATCCCCATTACAAGACATGACAGAAATAAGGAACACTTTCCACAATGACATGGTGTGTCTTTTCAATAATCATTCTCAGATTCACATGTGGACAGCTTTTCAAAATTGGATGGAAAAGCAGCCATAAAATCATTGCCATGAAAATAAGTGGACAAAAGCAGAAAAGGGTTTTTGACACAATGGAGGTTGCTTTTGATTGCCTCCAATTTCTTTGGGACAAATGACAGATTCTGCCCATCCAAGAAGAACCCAGACCAATTTCAGCAGGCCTAAGGGAAAAAAAGAACCACATCAATAGAACATTCAGCATATGAAGTTTTGGTAGTCTTTTCTATTGATATTTCATAGGAAGAGATATAAAAAATCTTGAAAACGTATGGATCCTCACAATATACCAAGTAATGGAAATAGATTAGTAGGGAAGAGAAGGAGCCAAGAAATCTTTCCAAATTAGCCATTTTGTGAGAACTCCAATACAGGAATAGAGATATATTGGAAGGCACTGTGGATGATCTAAAACAGTCTTTGATCAAATCTGGGTTACTAGTCAAACAATTCATGCAAAAAAACCAGTATGTATCTTGGTAGGTATACACCTTTTCTTGAGAGGGTTAATGGCATTGCACATGAGCTCTCCTGAGCCTGAAAGTTTGGCAGTGGACCAAACTCAAAAAGTGTCTCAAAGAATGGAGGCAATATCCCAACCTTTCAACCAGAATGGTGCCCTGGATCACCTGGGAGATATTTGGTATGGTTCCTTACCAAGGACTGCTGAATGAAACTCTAAGAAACAAATGAGCAAGCTGTCCATTGCTAGTGATGTCCCATCCTCACACTGGGGAATGTGGATTGTAAACACCACATGGATCTCAAGAAAATCCATAATTTGTAGTGAAATTGGACAAATTTCAACTGTACGACAACCGGGGTGAAAATGAGTTGTGAGCTTGGAAGGGTGCCCCCCGCGGAAGCAGTGCGGTTGGCGCACGAACCTTAATTAAGATCGCGGTGGACAACAACACTGCCTCCTGAAAAGGCATCTCCAACTGCCAACCCAAAACACCGATTACCACCACACCACCACACATGGGCGGAGGACCTAGTACACCACCACCACCACGACTGATGGGATCTTTCGAGGAAACACTTGAGGATGAGCATCTACTCGAACATTCGATTGATGGCAGAAGTGTCAGTTCTTGATCCACTTGGTTCTCTAATTATGATCTCTGAAAAAATCATTAATATCTGAACTGACTTAAGTACATGTCTCGTCTGATTGAGCAGATACTCTCGGATGATTTGGTCGAAATCACTCGCCCAATGGCCTTCCCATCCACTGAAGAGCCTCAAAAAACAGACCCTCACTCTCAAGAACCCAGTGCTGATAATTCCTCTCGATCACCCGTCATCGATCCGGATTCGACCAAGGAAGAAGACCCAAAACCTTACAAGTTACGGTGGTCCAAAAGCAAAGTTTATATCGTGAGGAACCAACTCCCAAAACCCCCCACCTTAACTCAGTTATTGACACCTCCAATCTGAACTACTTCTCATCATTCTTTTGTGCAGCATCCGACCAGTTTCCTTCGTGATAACCTCCCAGGATATCTTGGAGTCCTCCAACGTGTAGATACATCTATTTTAACATTTAACTCATGCCCAAAGATGTCCCTAATATTTCTTCTTTTGGTGCTCTGGGTAGGCCCCTCGATCGTTCTATCTCAGTTGGATTCCCGAGCAGGCCATCGAGGACTCATCAGAACGAGATTCATGGATCAAATTGGACCTCGACCCTCACCTTTGTCAGCCTCTTCCCCCCAACGGTTCATGAAGCACTCTATCTCTCTCCCGTTGGAATCTTCAACTGACTCGTGTAAATTTTCTTGGCATTTTTCTCTTAGCAACGGATGAAGACATTCTGGTGAATGTGCCTATAGATCCAGAGGCCACTCCAGATTATGCCTTCTCAGTCCCTATCGATTCGATTCACTCCATCATCCTCACTCCTCCGACTCTTAGTTCTTGGTACGGAACCGTAGTGATCAACGTCTTCTGTGGCCCGACGCTCCCCAAACTCTACTTCCATGATGATGAATCTCGCTCCACTCAGTTCTCACGGGAGACCCGCGAAACAAGGATGGCTCAGAACCGACTCTCGTCGTTACCTGCAAGCTGGGGCGGCGAGGCACTCCTTACCCAACTCCGGCGGTTTGCTGATGTGTGTCAATCCGCCAGGGAACATGGCCTCTTCCTACTCAACCCTAGTAAAGACGAACGCGAAGAACATCTCACTCCCATCTTCTCCGATGATGCATTGATCCCGCCACTCTCTCCCCCCAAACGGAATAGCATCCTCCATCAAAGTCTCAGAAATGGCAACCCGTCTGGCTCGATGGATGAATTTGCTTTCAACATCTTAAGTTCTTTTAGTAAGCTAACTCAAAAGTCAGTCATTCATCGATGTCTTATCATCTTAAACCAGAAGCTTTCTACTCATCAAATTCATACGCACTACTTGTTTTCTTGATTGCCGAACAACAACAGTGCAAAATCAGCTGCCCAGATGGTCTTGTCACACCGGCTTGCCAAGCCTATCATTCCACACGTCTGTCACATATTTCGGATTCTATAACTGATAAAGATCGCAAGTCGTCCAAACAAATCCCAATTGACCGAAGATTATTTTATCCAGTTGCCCCAACCTATTGCCTCACTTGCGAATGGTGAACCAGAATTTATCCGATGGTCTCAGCAAGCAGGCGTTGAAGGTTATGATGCTGCCCGGGTGTATTTGGCGAAATGGGCATCAATCGTTGCCGCCCAAGGGGAACGCTCCAGACGGGCCGAGTTCAACGACTGGGATCCGGAACCCGTTGCCAACGACAGTCCTCTTAGTAGCTTGGATGGTGGATTTGAAATGATTCATGTGAGTCAATACTCATTTTCTTCTGACGACAAGTATTACAGCTCAACGCGACATTCAAACTGTTTGTGTACTTTGGTTGAATTATATTGACAGGCCACTTACCAAGTCCCGAAAGTACGATTCCAACGCGCATCTACTCAGCCGATCGAGTTGGAAGAATTCATCGCATGGCAGGACGATTCCGGCAAATTATTGTTAGACAAAAGGGAAGGACAGCGTCGAATCTTTCAACGTGGAGTCGCGCCAGCCGCCAGGAAGCTAGTTTGGCTATTCCTGTTAGGGGTGCATGACTGGGAGAGTACATCCCAAGAAAGAGAATCAAGCCAAACGCGCATGATGTAAGTCCCTTGGCCTCGTGTGGTTGTGTATGGCGTGAAATGATCAACCTGTATCCTTTGATTGACCTTCTTGCTCGTTAATCAGTGAGGAATATCAGAAACTCAAAGCTTCTTGGGAGACAGGAAATGAGGAGTTGAGATCGACTGCCTCGTTCCAGGAAGAGGCTCATCGGATAGGTTTGTTCTGTTGAACGACCCCGAAGTGTTATAGCTTTGATCACTCACTGGGAAACGGCACTAATATCTCTCTGTGTCTCTCCAATGCGATGGTCGAAAGAAATCGACTGTCGGCGGACCGATCGGGGCCAGTCGTACTTCTCCACCTCCGCCAATCCCCCAACCTTGGACAGTCTTGCACCCGAGGAAGACTCCAATATGCCCTCTACTAATCATCACGTTGAGACTGTGGGGAAGATCTTGATGACTTATAATGTTTGGGAGAAAGAGCTTGGTGAGTTGCTGTCAAGATGATTTCTACACAAGCTGTTCAGGCCACATGCCATTGACTCACCGTGACACCCTTCTCCTATCCTAGGTTATGTCCAAGGTATGAGTGATCTTTGTGCCCCACTTTACGTTGTTTTTGAGGCGGACGAGGTTACGACTTATTTTGCGTTTGTCAAGTTGATGGAAAAGATGGTTCGTCTCCAACCTGCCCTCTGACCTTCCCAAGCTTGTAGAACACTTCAATCGATAACTGAGGCTTGGGTAAACCATATATAGAAAAGTCACTTTTTACGAGATCAGAGTGTGCGCCCCACGGTATTCTACCCACATGTCTTCTATCACTTCCTTCTCATCCTAACAAACCCGCTTCTTCCGGGATTTTTTTCGCAGGGGATGAGAGATGAACTTTCACGACTTCAACAGCTATTGCTCTTGATCGATCCACAGTTATACTGCCATTTCGAGAAGACTAATAGTCTCAACTTGTTCTTCTGTTTCCGATGGATCCTGATCAGCTTCAAAAGAGAGTTTGAGTTTCTTGAGGTTCTGAAAGTTTGGGAAGCTGTAAGTTTTTTTTTCTTTCTTTCCCTACTCATCCTTCTCTCCATCCTACATACACAGTCAGGGTGTTTTGATCATCATGCTAAGTATGCTCGTTCTTTAGCTGTGGACGGACATGTGCGGTCCTCATTCAGATCTCTTTCTGGCTTTGGCCGTCTTGCAGACTCATCGGGAACCTATCATTCGATATCTGCAAGAGTTCGATGAGGTGCGTGATCCTTACAACACCACTTCAATACCATATCTCTGTTAATCCTTTTCTACTTCGTTTTTAAGGTCCTAAAATATATCAATGACATTGCGAATGTGAGTTTAGACTCCATTGATTGGAGGAAACATTGACTAGAAGCTGACGCTGTTCTGAACTGCGTTCTGAAGACCCTTGAATGTGATACATTGTTGACTCAAGTGAGTCTACCCTAGAATTGCTCTTCATGATGAGGTACATCAATGTTGATGATTCTATCTATCTGACAGGCACACATGTTATATTTGACCTACAAATCGATCGTCGAGACCCGGTCGACGGTGACATCGGATGGGACCCAAGTCATCCAGTCCGGAAAACGAAGTGTCGTTGTGACCGACGAGCTTAAGAGTCTCTTCTAGCCTTTTCTCTCTCCCTCATCAAAAAACACTCTGACTCTCTTACCCTCCCGGACATTCGGTTCGGTTAGACAGAATATACAAAGACCGTCGGCCTCTTTCTTCTTTCACATCCCTCAATGGATCTTCTCTTCGACTGAATTCACCCTTATTTACTCTCTTTTCCTCTGATTATTGGTTGATTGTGTTGTACTCATAATCTTGTTGTTGTATGTATCTGTTGATCATCTTCTTCAACCTCGTGTGTTATTATTGGCCATGGATTGTATGAATGTAACAACAGTTTCTCCTCTTGATTGTGTCTACATAGCAGTTGTCATCTTTTATTATAATCTCCAGAAAAAATACTCATTAGAAAGGGTCTTCTCTTCTAAAGCTTGGGCTGGACTGGCGATATGTACCAGCTTGCATCAGGTCGGAGCTCATTCCTTTTCAAGGCTTGAGTGTGTTAAGCAGACCAAATTGATTGCTCTGCTTGGATGCAAATTGGATCTGTGTTTGTTGATCAAGCCAAACCAAAATGATTGATGAGTCCAATTTAGTCACACTAAATCAAACTGTATGATTGCATTTGACAAAAATGAGAGAGTGATTGGATGCTCAAATGATAATTGGTGATTGAGAGTAATAATTCAGCTTCATTTTTCTTTGTGTTTGTGTAGGAAGCATGTTCAAGAATGATTTTCTAAACAACTTTCTGCATCAAATAATGAGTTCAACTTCCAGCATATGATCAAAACATCAATTCTATGCATCTTCAGAATTGTCCCTTTTTGGAGCATTCATAATGGAGATTTCAAGAATTTATATACGAGAGCATATCTGCTGTGGAACACAAATTGGGGATATAGACTAACTTTGCATCCTGGCACCCAAAGCCTGTAGTCCACACAAGGGGAGCCAAACCAGAGACTATCATCTGTAGAGATCTGGCATTATGGATCATCCTTTGGGATCTGACAGTATGATCTACTACACCAAAAAATGACCAGCGTTAGCGCCGCTACAAATCAGCGTAACATAGCACTAACACTACACAAACAAAAGCCGCTGTCGGTGCCGCTACGCTAGCACTAAATGGGCCTGTAGCATAGTGTAGCGTAGCGGCCCACCATTGCCAACAAGCCCCCCTCAAAGAAAAAAGGATTGCAGGAGTGGAGATCAATTTGGATAGGGTGGAAACCAATGGCACAAAGGCCTCTTTTGAAAGAGATGTGCAACTTGGTTGCTTTTGGCTTGAATTCAGGTACAATTTTTTTAACAACAGTTTGTTGGAAATTCAAAAAGGAAGATGGGGAGGAATGAAGAAATGGTTGGCCAAAAAAAAAATAAAGATATGATGTCTTGAAATTGGTTCAAGTTCTGACCAGGCAGGAGCTGGGAGTCAGATGCCAGGTACTTCAAGGTTCAGCCTCAGGACAATTCCAATCCTATTTACCTCCTGCATGGTGGGTGCTGCACAACCTGAAACATTGAAAGCCAGGTTTTGGAATACGTCTGTGGGGTTCCCAATAACTCCAGCAGAGATTGTGCACTAATGCAGCTGCAATATTGAACCCCCCCCCCCCTAATTCCAATGGGCAGATGAGATCTTATTTTCCTTCATTAATAATTGGAAAATGTGATTGACAGAGTTTCCATTTCTGGCAAATGATTATTTCTACCTCTTCCAAAGAGCGGATTATCTCTCTCCTTCTGTGGCATGTAATCAGTCATAATTTTGAACTAATTTCCCAGTGCTCCTGACAGAAGGCCATCCACTTTGCTGGCGACTTTGTCTTTCCCTGTTTTTGATCAGATTTGCAACATGTTCATACATCCCCTGAAGTAAAGCATTCCTCTATCAGGCAGGTCTTGCTAACATTGGAACACCATCATTGGGGATCAGTCACAACTATGAAGAGTCTTCATTGTCCTCGCAGTCCTCATCCAGTGTCAGGCTTTAGGTATATTCAAATCATACACAGCTTGAAAGATACCCCCGCGAGTTGCTCAGTCATGTCGGAGCAACAAGACTTGTAACGGACTGTGCAATCTAGGTGCAGCGTGTCACGCAATCACTCGGACATATTGTTTCTAATCACTGCCAGGCTATCGCGAGTCAAACAGTTATTGCTCAAGGATTAAGCTTGGTCAGGTTTTGTCGGAGTTATTGATGACGTTATTGAAGATGAAGTGGTCAAATCTGATTTTGAAGCAGTTGATCTCCTAGTCTGTAAGGAAAAAAAATCATGTTAATGAAACATCCAGTCTGAAGTGTTTACAGACTCATCAACAGCCCTGGATCAAACTTGAAGGCTGCGCTTTAGAATTATTTGTGGTGAATCACAAGACTCCACGAGTGGTTTTAAAATCAGAAATCTCTATATTTTGGATATAAGATCCTCCTGTCAGCCCCTGTCTGTGCTGACTTATCTTCACGTGTTTAATCCATCTACTACTCTTCAACTTTCTCTTTCAAATAACGTTGCTCTATTCAATCAAAAAGCATAGCGGATCTGTCACATAATATCTTTTTCTTTATTATTGAACCAACTTACAATGAGGCTGTGTGCAAATTTTATCATATTCCTATTTTCATTAGCTTCTGGTTCCTCCGCGACTGGACTAGGGAAGAATCCTGAGCTTCAATCTACCTGGCAATGGATAGAATCTGGAGCTGGGCCCTCGGGTACAAAGAGTGAAGTTCCCCATGGATCTTATGAAGTGATCGATCTGGGTGGGGATAACTCCGATAAGGAAATAATTGATGTGCACTCGGAACCATCAGAAGATAGCTCTCTTCATGAAGTAATCGATGTGGATTCGATCACATCAAAACGTACTTCTAAAAGACCCTATGAACTAATAGATTTGGAATCGGTAACACCAAAAGGAAGTTCCCAAAGTCCTCGGAGTCGTGGAAGAATCGACTTGAATTTTGGACCTTCAGACGCGAACGATGGGCCAGATTCTGCCGCCGGGAACTCTCTACTAATGCTGAAATTGGGCAATGCAGCGGAAGAAGCTGTGAAGGTATCGCTTCCGACAGCGAAAACATTGAACCGGGAAGCAAATCAGGACATCAGGTTTGATTCACCGCATCGGTTTCCAAGCTCGGCGAGGCCCCAACATGAATTCCCAGCAATGAAAAATGGACCAGGCGCTTCAAGTGCCAATGCCCTTCCTGCAGACAACCATGGAGAGAAAGAAGCCTTAAAAACATTTGAGACATTGACTAGTAAGTTTAAACCAACTTTTTTCCCACTGTGTGTAAGTTATTGAACCTGTCGGGTTTTCCCTCTGGGCTGGTAGGTTCCGGGTTGTTTGACTTTCAGAGCCGATTTTTCAAAATTATTGTCTATTTCAAGAAAGCTGATGCAGAGGAGAAGGCATTGATAAGCGAATGGTGGACAAAAATAGATTCAGAATTGAAGGGTGAAAGTAGCTTACTTAATTTTAAGAAACACTATCGAGCTTCTTCAAGTAAGGGGCAAGGAAGAAGCTTGTTATACCTGTTTCAACACGCCAAGGAAATCACGGCAAAGATCAAGAATCCCTCTTTAAAAGTAGAATCTTTGCGACAAACGCTGGAAGGGTTGATTGCTAGGGCCTCTCAACTCAAGACTATCCAGGAGGAGAATAAATACCTCATGAAGTTAGAGAAAGATGAATACATAGTTTCCAATGAAACCTTGCAAAATATTTTGAATGACCCAAAAAATTTCCTCGAGGGCCAGTGTGGCTTTATTGATCAAATTGCCAAATTGGATTCACACTTAACTTATTTGCAAAGCAGGTTAAAATACAAGGGACTTCTTTGAGAAACTTGGATTGTAACATATAATTATTAGCTTCAAATTCCCTGTTCACATGGCCAGTACTGTGTTATGTTACAATTCAGCATTAGGTGGTATCAAATATAGGCAAATCCACCATCATTTAATTGACTGGTTTTGAAAAATTCAAGACTTTTCAACATGCTGATTCTTCATCTTGTACGTTTTTTGGGGCCCATTGGTGAAAAAGAATAATTTTGGATAATTGACTGAAATTATGCACACATCTGAGGGAATTCCTGTCAGAATGGGTGTGCCATTTAAAGTCAATTCAGAGTCTGAAAAACTATGTTTGGTTGTGTAAATTTAAATCTTTTGGTTCTAAATCAACATCTGTCATGGCTGCAGGTTAAATCTTTCAGTGCCTGGATTTTGTGACAGGTTTAAATTGCAGGTGTGATGCACAATGTTGAGCAAGAGAAAATCTCCACAACATGCTTATGGCAGAGCAGTTAGCTCCATATGTAGATAGAGGACACTGGTGCAAAATTCTTTGAAACACCTACCCAGATTACACAGAAAGAAAGACTATTTGACTCCTAGTCTAATGCTTCAAATAAGTACAAGGGTTTGAATGGCAATAATACCTGGGAAGAGACTCCCAGTAGGAAGGCCCTCACCTGGATTGTTGTTAAATACTCTTACTCTGCTGGAATATTCACTTTGGAGAGGCAAACAGAAAATTACACCTCTGAACCAGCAATTGGTGGTGTAGTGCAGCAGAATTCTGCTAACACATAAGACAAAAAAACAAAATTGTGAGACCCCTGATTGAAACAAATAGTGTTACAAAGGACCCAAAAATTTGTACTATCTCATGGGGATGCAATCCTCACACTGAGATAGTTGTAAACAGCTCTGGTCCACTGAACGTTTTTCAAAAAAACAGAAGCAAGTAATTTTTACACTTTCATGGTGTTAGTGCAATCTGATCACTTTAGATTGATTGCTACAGATGGGATGTTTTTGTAAACATCTTTTTTTTGGGCCGGGGAAATCCCCCTGTATTTGGTTACATGTTATTAATACAGTTCACATTTGAATAAAATCTTGGATCAAATTTTGGCTTGCTGGTTTCAAAAATCACTAAAAAATTGAAAGACACAGAGGCCAATATTAAGTGTGCAAACCCAAGGGCCGGAACCATAGGGCATGAAAATCCAATTTTTTTAGAATCTATCTTACACAAATTTGTGTTTCATCAAAATTGACCATCACCAGAAGCCAGTGGTTAGCATAAAAGTGAAGAATTTGAATGTTAGATCTCTCCACTTCTTGTCCAATTCTGTGTAGAAGGCAGAAAGAATGCCCATCTTGAAAAATTGAATCCCATGGTACTGAATGGCCCCAAATCACTCTTCTGGTTTCATGTAAAAATTTGGCTGATTTGTTTTTCAAATGTAAACCGTCGTATTGGGTGAGTTTTTATTGTAGCCACCTCATTGGGAGAACCCACTTCCAAGTCTTGCAGTGTTTAACCATTGCCCAAGTGTGGTTGATTTTTTGAAAAGATGAGATAAAAAACTCATATTCAATTATTTAAAACTTCACCACAAATCCATCAATGGTGCTTGGCACATAACTGCTTACAAATGAATGCCTGTCAGAAAATCATTTACAAATCATGTTCATAAATTTACAGTCCAACTTTGAATACCTCTGTTTTCTTCTCCAAGTTCTCCCTCCTCCAATAACTGGTTCTATTTTTTATGAACCTTGCATTCTTACATAGAAAACTAGTATTTACCTCCAATTTTGGGGGTTTTGACTTGGTGAACTTTTCTTTGCCCCCAATGTTGTTGGGTTTTACTCAATGACTTTTTACCCCTTTTTTGGGGTGTTGCTTGAACTGGGAATTTGGGCACCTGTTTTGGTCAAATGTTGGTGTCAAAATTTTTTAATTGGAGTTCGACACCAGCAATGATGGGCCACTACATCTTTTTCCCAAAAGCATTAGCATATTGGTTTTTTTGGGCACCAAAATCACATAGTGTTAGGAAAATTTTAGCGGTTTTTTGCTACACTTTGCCGCTAATGGGACCAAAATACCACTAACCAGAGCATTAGCGCAGCATAGCAATAGATTTTTGGGGGCCTGCACATGAGTGTTAGTGTGGACATGGCGGAATTCTGCCATGTTATTTTAGAAGAATTCTGCTGTGTTACCCTACGCTAACACTACGGTTAGTGGAACTGGCCCACCATTGACACCAGCATTGAATTGGATGACACTTTGTTGGGCTCTCTGAGCCTATTTTTTAGTTGAATGTAGATGGACAAAAGGCAAGCTTCAAGATCTCAAATAATAGATTCAATCAAAACATGGAGATGAAGAAATAGACAAGAGATATGTGTGAGAACAAGGAGCATAGCAAACAAAAGTCACACAATCCCCCCTTCAGATCCCTCCCTCACAGAACATGCAACAGGATTGAATATAATCTCATGTTGAGGATGATTTTGAATTTTGATAAAGAAGTTACTCAAGATTGAGACAATGATTTTGCCATGAGGAAATAAATATTCTGGATTCTTCAATGGCTTTTCCAGATATTTAACCCTAACCTTTCACTGCCAAAACATATCTTACAAGGAAAACACTTAGAAAAACATTCCAATTCATTAGAGAAGACACAATCCAATTCAAAATATTTAACAGGTGGGTTTCGGGAAGCTCCAAAAGTTCTCATTCAAATACGAAAATAGATTTTCAATCCATTTTTATATCAAGAAAGAGCTAGGAATGCTTCATAAATACCCAGCGGGGTGTGTAAGCTTGCTGTGAGCTGTGAATCTTTGACGACAAGTCTGAAACTCACTGCTGACCAACCTGATGGTTTATGTGGTTTAGAACGATAGCAGAAGGTCATGAGAGGTCAACTCAACGGGGGAAGCTTACAAGGTTCAATCTCTGCCGAAAGGTGATATCCATGATACATACGATATTCATGCTGTCCTATGTCGGAGTCGGAGTAGGTCGGAGTGCTCTTTACTTCTGCAAGCCCGTAAATACATCTTCATAAAGATTGGTCACCTGATCACATCGGAGCCATTCCAATTTTGAGCACATTAACCCATCTACTGTGAGTGGTCATCATGATCACCTTTATATTCGCGAATCTGCTGGCTTGTAGTGTGGTGTTCCTTCTCATCAAGTTGTGAGCCAATTTCTGATTATTGCACTTGCCAATCATGCCGTGAACTGATTCTTGTTTCGATTTGAATCCCTCTTCTTCGCCTTGATAAAACTAGTCGTGATCGAGGTAGATATCTTTCTTGCTTGCCGGACAAACAAAATCAACTCACAGACTGATTAACTCCTGTCGTGCCCGTCTTTTGCGAAGCAATTGGGACGACGAAGAGAAAGGATACTGGATTTTACGATGTACCTGGCTGGCCATTGTTTGTCTGAAGTTTTACAGCTCAGGACTATGCTTTTTCTTGTTGACCGAAGTTGACCTTTGATTTTTTTCATTTGTGAAGTCTCGGACAAGTGCGTGATGCTATAATAGAAATCTCGTGCAACAACAAAGGAGTTAAACGACTATCTGCCTGGTCTAGTTACCATCGATTCTCAAAAACAGGGCTCGAAATTTGGAGGAACTCACTCTCAGAGGCTTACGATATGGCCCTGGGCATAGTACGACTGTTCCAGGTATCAGGATTGTCGATGTCAGTAAACCGGAGTGGATTGAGTATATACAAAAAAGTAAGCATTCATGCTTGGCACTAATTGGCGGCCGACTATCCGCCGGGCGTTTCTGAGCAACCTCGATTGACGTTGTATATCTGAATTCTAGCCAATTTCTCTAACTATATCAAGGTATTCTGCACCAAGTCTCAGCTATGCTCTCGACCGAAACTCGATGTGATTAATTCGTTCCTTGAATTTCTCCCAGGGACCTTTGAGCCGAGCCTTAGCGTATGATGTCTTGGGAGATAGCATCTTCGTATCAGATGGTCCAGTCTGGAAAAGAGCTCGACATGCCACCTCCACAATCTTTACTATGAAGACATTCAAGGTGAAGCAACATTGTGAACAGACCATTTGATATCATACTGAATTACTTGTTTTTTTTTCTTCCTGTCCCTGCACCCGAAAAGACAACTATCGTCCCTTGCGCCAATCAAAGCATCGATAGGCTAGTCAAAGTACTGAAGTCGACTGCAGAAGTGAATCAGAGCATCGACTTCTGCAACCTTTTCTATTGTTATACGTTGGAATCCTTTGTACAAATGACGTCAGCTGAGCTTTCAACCAATCAATTTTCACTTTTTGTACTCCTTTGACTAGCGGAGTTGACTACCTTGTAGCCTATCTTAACGCTTCATTTTTATCCAACAGTTTTGGGACTGATCTAGGCCTCCTTGGTATCGAATACAATGACGAAGAAAAAGCACGATCACCCTCAAAACTATCGCAAACGACGATTCCTTTTGCGAAAGCGTTCGAATTTGCGCAAGATCAGCTAGATTTCAGAATCGCCATGGTCATGGGATGGCAGATGATGGAAAGGCTCAATGCATCCATGGGGAACCGCATGAAGGCCTCCTGTTGCGTTCTGGATGAGTACGTTTACTCCTTAATTGACGAGCGAATGGCTAAAATGGCGCAGATATCCGAATTCGAAGACAAAGAATCATCTCACTCGGACCTATTGAGTGTCTTCATGAATGCTCGGGACGAGCGTGGAGGCGGCTTAGGACGCACTGAGCTGAGGGATACTACACTGAGCCTCATTGTTGCCGGGCGGTAAGTCAACGCATAGTCAATTCGAATCATTTTCATAAGGCCACTTGTGAATATTAACCTGAACCAACCAAAATGCAAACAGTGATACCACCGCCCACACACTATCCTGGGCCTTCTTTCATGTACTCATGAACAAAGACCTAGTTTCCAAAATTCGCGAGGAAGCGATCGAAATCTTGGGTGATCAGGATAGTGATCAAGATCGCGTGACATATGAGAATTATAAACAATTCATTTGGAGTCAAGCAGTCGTATATGAGGCCCTGAGGTTGCATCCTAGTATTCCAAAGGTCTGTCCAAAACTGATCATCCAAAAAACAAGCCGACCTGATTCTGATCATCCCTTGATTTGATTAAACTCTTGTGTATTTATGTATGCCTATGGTTTTCGGGTAACTTTAGAGTGGAAGATACGTTGCCTCAGATGACCGAATCCCTGGTGGACCGACTGTTGAGGCTGGTAACTTAGTCAGATGGAGGTTGTGCAGTCCCTTTTCCATAATAAGCACCTTATGAATGTAACTCATGTTACTTCTTTACACTTCTTTGGTTATGTTCTGCTTCCTTTAACTACAGCGCCTGGAAGATGGGCCGTGATGCCTCATTATGGGGGCCGGATTGTGGCGAGTTCAAACCAGACCGTTGGATTGACGAGACAGGCCGTATCAAAAAATTTGGGCCATTCAAGTTCCCAGCTTTTGGAGTGAGTAGTTCCCTTCCAACGTCATTCCTCAGTCTTATACCGATCGAGGTTACCTACTTAGTCATGGGGGATTTCAAACTTACATCTATCGACTGCGCATCTTAATCCAGGGCGGCCCAAGGATTTGTATAGGTCAAAATCTGGCGATGTTACAGGCAGTTAAAGTGATAGTTGAAGTTTTCAAGCAGTTCGATCTTGAGTTCGCCCCGGGATGGTGAGTTATCCATCCTCTACTCCGCCCCAGTTGCTTCATCAGGTTTCAAATAGTCACACAGAGGTTAGTATGCCTTCATTTTGACTTGAATTCATGTCCTCATGCGTTTTTCGACACAGGTTAGAAAATGTCCCTAAAAGCGAAGCAATCGAAGGTGTTGCAAGTCGATATCCAACGCCAATGTACAGGCCGTCATTGACTTTACCAATGGCTCATCCCATGATGGTCTCAGTTCATCGACGTACTTCATCAGCAGAGGCCATATCACCTTGAAGTAGCGAAAAAAGGAGTCTCCAAAAAACCTTGGGGGGAGGGGGGACTCTAACAAGACACATGATTCACCTCTTCCACATTCCGAATTATTCATGAAATCAATGTATAAAAACAGCAACACAAAAATTGTAATACAAAAATGATTTACGAGATATTGACAAATCATGTAGAATAACTCTACTTTTTGAGGCTCGGGTTAACGACGTTTGACTGCAATCATCATAGGATTTTCCATCGGTAAGGTTATTGATGATTTGTACATCGGAGTTTGATATTGACTGGTCAAGCCGTCTATTGTTACGCTTTTTGGAACATTTTCTAGCCTGGTCCATACATCATTCCAACAAATAACATAGTTGAGATTCAGCTTAGGAGTTGGATGGTTTTTCTGATTGGAAAGATTTAGAGTAGAAAAACCAAAATGACGGCGGGCGCGCCTGCAGAAAGATAAGGAGATTTCTCTACTCACCAACCCTCGGCAAATTCCAATTCAAAATCTCTCAGAACTTCGACCATGACTTTAACAGCTTCAAAGATCGCCAGGTTGATCCCTAAACAGACCCTCGGTCCACCCTGGACGAGGTGTAACAAGCAACACATGATCGCATAAGGCCTTTTTCCCTTGAGAGTGATAGTGATATCGAAGCCTTACATTGAAAGCGTGAAACTTAAATTGTCCAAACTGTCTGATGCTACCTGCTTCATCGATCCAACGCTCTGGCTTAAACTCCCCACAGTCAGCGCCCCATACAGAAGGATCTCGACCCATTTGCCAATCACTGAAGTGGACAAACAAAAAATTGATTGAATTCGATCAGCTTTCATGAGGGAGCCTTTGGAGCGAAGAAAGGAACCTTATAACAACCTCCATCGAATCAGATTGCCAGCCTCGATGGTAGGTCCACCAGGAATCTTATCATCGGACAATGCAACAATTGCATTCTAAGGAAATTCTCAAATCAGGCTTTACTTTAAATTTGAAGCAGAGAATGAGCTTCATTACGATAGTTGCTATGCTACTGACCTTTGGCACACTGGGATGCAATCTGAGGGTTTCATGTAAGACTGCCTGAGGCCAAACAAATCGTTTATAATTATCGTATGTTACGCTTTCTTGATCGCCCCCCAAAACTTCGATTGTCTCTTTGCGAATTTTAGAAACCAGCTCCTTATTCATCAATAGATGGAAGAAGGCCCAGGAGAGTGCTTGTGCGGTGGTATCGCTAGACAAGTTCCGTTTGATTAGTATTATCCTTCTGAAATCTCTGGCCATGTATATGTGGAGATCAACCAAATTATCAAGGGAAGTACTTACCGACCGGCAATGATGAGATTCATGGCGGTGTCCCTGAGCTCAGTTCGTGTCAAGCCGCCACCACGCTCGTCACGCGTAGTGATGAAGAGACTCAACAAGTCAGGATGCGACGGATCTTGGTCCTGAAAATCAGATTTGTGAGACAAGTTCGCCAATCGTTCATCAATCAAGGAGTATACAAATTCGTCCAGGATACGGCATGACTCTTTCATCCTCTGTCCCATCGACCTGACATTGAGCCTTTCAATCAACTCCCATCCCACCACCATCGCTAATCTGAAGTCCAACTGATCCTGTGCAACATCAAACGCCCTCGCAAATTCAGGGGCTGATGATTCTGAGTGACTGCCATATTCGGCACCAAGGATACCAAGATCTTTGCCAAATCTTGAAGAAGAATCATTAATTATCCGCGAAAAAGAGAGGGTAGTTTCAATTTGGGAATGATGCCATCTCAAACTAATTAAATCAAACTAACGTCATTCGTATAAACGAGTCCAAGGTGAACCGAAAGAATAGATCGCAAATGTCGACCGTACGGTTTTCTTTATGAGCGGAGCACAAGACTTGAGTAAGACCATCTATGCTTTGATTGACAGAAGGCGAAATGATGGTCTTGGCAAAAATGAAATAGGATCGGATATAAAATCAGCATGGAATTTGCTTGACCATGGATCATTCTATGAGCTATAAGATACCTTGAATGTGGAGGGAGTAAAGATTGAAACGGTTGCGTGTCGAGCTCTTTTCCAAAGCGCATCATCCACCACGAAAATCCCTCGTCCCAAGACATCCAGCATTATATCTTTTCGCAAAGGACCCTGCAAGAAATTCTCAACTTAGTTCGACTCTATCCCAAAAAAAGGCTTGCTTTGGCCAGTCATAACTGGATCAATCGGTCACCTTAGCATAGTTCTTGACATTGGCTAGGTTTTGGGAAGCGACCGACGTCCCAAGGAATAGTAGTGGTCAATTAGCGACAGCCAAGCAAGACTCCTGGACTGTAAAGTGCTTACTCTTTTGGACATATTCAAGCCATTCTGGCTTGCTGATATCGATCACCCTGTTGCCAGGAATAGTGAAACTGAAGCCAGGCCCGACTTTCAAGCTCGTCATGGTACTCGCTTCTAGAATTCGACTCCTACTTTTGAGCATGTTGGGTAACTGTTGAACGCATCGGACGAATGATTCGCTGTTGGTCAATTTCTTCAGTTTCTGATTCAGATGTCTGTCTGGCTCACCTGGCCAAGCCTTTGGTTAATCGGACAAATGGGAAAGAGATCACGATTAGAAAAACATTGGTAAGTGTTGTAAACAAGGGATTAGAATGAAAAGAAGCGCACAATGGCCATCCAGGTAACTCGGTGAATGAGGGATCTTTCCTTTTGGAAGTACCGATGGCTATGAAGCATCAAAGATAAGTTTCCTCTGTTGAACGATCTCCCGCTCTTTTCTTCTGCAAGAAACTTACCACGATCACGGCTTTTTATAAGGCGCCAACAGCAAGTCAGACGCTCATCATACTCATGATCATACTAGAAAGGGTAGAAGAAAGCGAAGCGGACTGACTACTTGATTAACAGATAGATCAGGTAAAGCAGACCACAGACAACGAGTTTGCCTGAGACATACGAACTCATCTTAACGGTACGGATAGCGATTTCCAGGAAGCGACGAAAATATATATTCTGCGGCGGCAGTTTTCTGAGCCCCACTCTGAACCTATTTAGGTTGATTCAGAGCCTCGGAGATTCGTATCCGGCGTACATATGTAGTATTGTGCCTCGAGTTTGCCTCCTCGACATTCACCGCCGCAATGTTCACACGATGCGCAGGATGGCTGCCCCCTTCCGAGCGAGATCACGAACTCGATACATAATGTTTCCGTCCTATTTGAAATCATGTTGACCGCAATAAAAGGGCCGTCTCTCCAGACGCAGCAAGAGTCATCTTCCTACTTTCCACCTTTCTGTGCATCTTGAAATATAGGCGGAATAAGGCTTCAAACCATTGCAAACAGCTGCTTGCTAATAGCTATTGATCTTTTTCTTGATAACTTTATTTGGCAAATCCCTGGATATGGGTCTCCCTCCTCCCGAGATTCAGGTCACTCGTTGGTGGACTCATCAACCTCCAGTTGACGGCTATTGGGGTCCATCGTAAGCGCACTATACATTTGAACACCCATCATCTCCCAAACCCAGAGAAGAAGAAAAAATACAAACTCGTGACTTGAATTGATCACTTCCTCTATACAGGACCTCCTCGATTGATTGGTGGTCAGTGCACTTCATCCGTATAACCTTCCAATGGAGAAGTTCATACAAGTTACAACTATTCCATCTCTTTCTCCTGCTACAATGCATTTGACCTCAGCGAAGCAAATTATCAGATCACCAGATTCATTGCTGAATTTACCAATACACTTTCAACCTTGGTCTTCGGTAAGTCATCCAATCTTCACCCAGCTTAATCGATGCCCCCCCCCCCCCCCCGAAAAAGAAACTTACCTTGAAATCTACAAAAACCCCGATCCCTCTGGTTTAGTTTATTGGGGTCTTTAGTTGAGTTTCTCTCGACTACTTTTTTCAAATTGCATACGTTTTTCATGTTTCGTTTTTTTATTCAACCTGAATGATTCAACATGTATGCATCGCTTTATAGTGGGATGAAGAAATGTCGCGATGAGCGATTACCCCTACCAATCAGACTGTGCCAAGTGGGAATAATAATAATAGGCATAGGAAGTTTCTTGTGAGTTTCTCATAGCCCTGTGTCAAAGAATCGAGATCGAAGCGGCCGCGGAGAGGCGATAAAATTATCTAACAACTCGGACAACTTTCAGGTTTCATACCACATTGCAATATGGATGGCAGCTAGCAGACGAACTACCGATGATATTCGGGGCTGCATTCAGTACCTATGTGATATTTGATATCGGCAATCCGAATCTACCCCGGACTCGATTTGTTCGCAGTCTGCCCTACCTCCTCTCGCTCTATTCCTTCGGCGTCACGGCGATCTACCTTCGCTATCGTGATCCAGTGTTCCATCAACTCGCTTTTGGCGCGATTCAACTGTATGCCTCCTCTATCTCTCAATCGTCCCCTTCCTTTCTTCTGCACACTTGCTTACACTCCTTTGCTTTTTTTTTCTGATAAAAAGCCTGTCTACTTCTCGCTCTGTTTATCTCATTGTAACTGCTCCGAAAGAAACCTATCGAGAGCAGAAGAACAAATCGGATGCCACCCGCTACATACTGATCGGCTCTGCCACTTTTCTCCTTGGCTTTTTGATCTGGAACGTAGACAATGTGTGAGCGTGTCTTCCCCTTTGATTTTCGCTTGCAGACCTGCAGTTTTCTTTTTTTCATGGTTTTCTTTCTGATTTCCTGATTCATCTTATGTAGACTGTGTGATCAAATCTCTCGACTAAAAGAATATTTGGGTACGCCATTGTCATTTATTTTGGAAGGACATGCATGGTGGCATCTAGCGACCGGTACAGGCTCATACCTCGTAAGTTTTTCTTCGTTCCCACATTACTCATACTACCCATATAATATAGTTTTGAACTCATCATGTGAGATAAACCCATCTGACCACGAGTGATATTTTTTTTTTCCCCTTTGGGGGGTCTTAACTCTAATCATCCAGAGTGGAGTAGGATTACAACTGTTGGCATTGAGCTTAAAAGAAGGTGCAGATGGCTTTGAGATCAAGCATGCTGGGATCCTTGGTCTTGTTCCTCACATCGCTCGAACCCCTATCAACGCCAATGCTAAACTTCAGTGAATTGTGTTTGATTTCATCCCCCTTTTTACTTCCTCATGACATTCTGTTCTGCCATTGCCTTTTCTGCCATTGCCTTTTCTGCCATTGCCTTTTCTGCCATTGACTGTTCTGATTTTGCCTTATTCTATTATTCTGTTAAAAACAATTGTCTGTTTCAAATTGAGCTATGGACTTGTGCAACTTTTATCAAGGTGATTGAAATTGCCTTTTGAGTGAGTCAAGCTGTATTTCATGTGTTGTCTGAAGAGTTTTCTACAAAGGTAAATTCTAAGTAATGAATATCCAGCAATGGAAATGGTTGGTTGGTAACTGGTTGACTTGCTTGTCAATTTTCCCATATCACTGGGTTCACTAGCAGGGTTGAGTCATAATTTGATATTTTTTATTCAAGATTGTTGTTAAATTTTTAAAAATATACTTTTTTCATTTCATTTTTGTTTTGAAATGGAGATCAATTGGGATCTCAAAAAATATATCCTTGCTACCTTAAGAGAATCCTCATTGGTGTGCGGATTAGGCAGGATTACCTGCCTAATGCAATCCTTCCAACCACACTGGTTGGGATTAGGTATTGGATTAAACTAGCTCCAGAGCCAAATCTAGAGCTAGTGGGTATCAAATTTCTTCCTAGCTACTTCTCCATTGAGCAAGCTTGCTAATCCTCACTAATCCTCTCAATTGATGTGGATGCTCTCAAACAAAATTCATACTTCTCTTGTTTTGTCTCTTCTTTCATGGGCTCAGAAATTCAGATATTCAACTATTGATAACTTTGATTGTCCTCTATCTTGATTTAATTTGAAACATACAACAGTTTCAGAAAAGCTTGCTTTCTGGAACCTTTGATATTGCACAGTTTTTTTAAGTTAACTATGCCTAAACTCCACAGCTTGCAACTCGTACAATTGTAAAGGTGCCAATTCTGGGCTAGAGATGGGCGCGCCGCATCCGGATATCCATTTGGATTTGGATATCCTCTCACCATTTCAGCGGAATCGGACATCGGCATCCGCATCTGCATACGCTGGCGGAGACCCGCTGGCGCTGGCGGGTATCCGCGCGGATACCCGCGGATATCCGCCCCCTTTTAAGGGGGACAGATGTTTTTTTCCAAAAAAAAGGAAAGAAAAAGAAAAAGTTAGAGGCTAGCTTGTTGGGAGGAATACCCTCTCGTCGGGAGGGGTTTCTACCGACGAGAGGGTGTGTACACCAGCTCGTCGGGAGGGGTTTCTCCCGACGAGAGGGTGTGTACACCAGCTTGTCGGGAGGAACCCCTCCCGACGAGAGGGTATTCATCCCAACTCGCTAGCAGAAAACTTTTTCGATGTGAGGGTATTCTTCTGGAAAAGCACACCTGTACCTCTTTCAAGGGGGCGCATATCCGCGGGAAAAAAACATCTGTCCCCGCTTGCACCAGCGCGGATATCCGCGGGGTATCCGCGCGCATACCCGCCAGCCCCGAGCGCGTCTCCGCGGGCGTATGCAGATGCGGATGCCGATGTCAGATTCCGCTGAAGCGGCGAGAGGAATATCCAAATG